GGATATTTCAGGCACCGGTGGACGTGTGTATGTCGTATACGAGAGAGGAGCACGGGGGAGGCGAGCAAAAAGGTTGGCGAACACGCGCGAATCTCCGCGACCTTTCTCTTCCATTCACCGCGTTCGAACAATTTCCAAGCCGCTAGCACGTTCTCGCCGACTAATTAAATGATTGATCGCCTCGACCGGCAAATTATCTTACGGCTGGCCGACAAATTAACCGGCCCTCGCTCGTGGTTTTTCCTCGGGTTCGCGAGCTCGTTCGTTCGCTTATTAGGGCCCTTTCGCGCCAGAAGAATCGTGTTTCGCGAATCCAGCTGAATCATCGCGTGATGAGGATTCGTGATATGTACGAAAGAGAGTCACGAAGAAAGGATGGGATATGTTTCGTACTAGATCCGATAGCGGACTTACAGATCTAGTTACAGATAGTTAAAGGATAAGCTCGACAATGGAACGCGTCGTTCGGCATACGTAAAATTGCCACGTTTCATCGTGCATACCCTTCGGATCGCTCGACTATCTGCCATAGTTCTGCGCATCGATAGTAATTACATCCACGGATCAACGGAGAAGCAGTGTTCTTACAAAAAGTGACTCTTCACGGTTCGGATTCTTCCCATTGTGAGGTGGACCTCGATCGTAGATCCAGCAAAGGTGGTATGCTCGCTCGAAAATTCTCGTCGATTGTGCAAATACCATCGGAGTTCCACGCGAAATGGGATTTCTACGCCTGGAGCCAGAAAGCTCGATTTACGAGTCGAGATTCCTCTCGAATAGAAAGAAAAGGCGGCGATGCACGCTATGCTAATTAATAACAGTTGAGCTCCAAGTGTCCAGGATTATCCCTTCACCTGGAACGAATCGAGTGGTTCCTTCTCTTTCCGTCGTTCTCGAGGACCCATCGTCGCTCCTTTTGTAAAACCTCCTTAATATGCGAGGAAGAGCACGGACTCGACGAGTCGCATCGACAACGAGGACCCGTATGCGTGTCTCGGATCTACCCCTCGTTTTGAAAAGCCACCCTGAAAGAAGGAATCTCTTGGGTTACCCGATCACACCCCTCTCGTCTCGGGGATTTAAGAGAAATCCCTTTGAGCTTCGGAGCGAACCACTCGAGCGACCGTCTCCGAGTATTTATTTCGCTGATCTCGAGCCGTGATTCGAGCATTCGGAACCTTTTGTGTCCGGGCAGCCACGAGGGCCACGAAACTGAGGCGTCCAGGCTTTTCGACGATCTTTCTTCTCGTTCCTTTTAACCGGAGGAAGGTGATACGATTTCTTCGAATTCCCTCTCGTACTCTTTGCTTTTGTTTATGGGTCGAGGGAGGTCCGAATACGCGATAGAGACGATGATTAATTCCAGTTTGAATGATTGATCGTTCCTAGAGTTTCAGACTCGGATAAATTAGCGACTCTAGTTGTAGAATTTGAACACGGTTTCGTGTTATGTACAAGGTTGGCAATTTAATAATTATAGGATCAGGTACGCAACGCTTTATCGCAATTACACACGCTATAATTTACAAAGTTTTTTTTAACGACTGTCGAAGGAAAGCTGCTATTATTTCGCTTCATTTTTCATGTAGAGAACGCGTGATAAAAAAAGTGTTAATTTGTTCCGTACCTCTGATGTTAAAGTATAATGGCGCCGATAAAAACAAGGAATTCCTATCTTTCACTCGGAACAGCCAGTGAACAGGTTTAGGGTTTTTCACAGCGTTCGATGGGGCTGTCTATGATTTGTTGTCTGCAAATTGATGAAAGATTCAATTAGGTTGTTAAAGCGACGACGGTCTGTAATGACCTGTGAGAAAAATGTCTGGGAACTGGAATGCGTCCTACGTTCGAGATTCTTATTTTAATTTTAGTTTACGTTAACGTCGAAGCAACTTTTTACCGTCGTTTTACAATTTTGTCACGAGATTATCTGCGCAACGGTTTCAGGACCAATAAAATATATCATATAGAAATTGTTCGCATAGTCGCTAATACTATTTTAATCGGTCGTACACGCTCCCATAAACGTTTACCAGCTCGATCTACCTAATTGAACAAGATAACACATGTCGTGAACAGAAAGTAGCCACGTTTTTCCTGCACCGTTTTCATCGTCGAGAAAACACTCGGTTTGTGAAACGTCGGTCCTACAGTGTTCGTGACTCGATAACGATTATCGGGCACCGATCGAACGTATATAAAGGCAACGAAACAACGTCGCGGCGTTCCATGTTTTCGATCTGTGTTCCTAGGAATATAATCGACATGGCGCGGTGAAAGTGTGCGAAAAGGGGCCCAGAAACGGTGCCGGGATAAGAATGCCGCGTAAAAGTACGTGTCGTTTGAACAATGACGATGGGAAACGGAACGAAAGAAAACGAGCCATGGAGAGGGGACGACAACGAAGGTATTTATCGAACGTGGCCACGAAGAATGCCGATACGTCGACGAGTCGGCGTCAAACTGCGAAAATTATACCGTGAAAGAGAAAACCGAGTAATGAACGTCGAACGAGGCAATTATCGCGAAATCGGCGCCGGAGAGAATGCACGGAGAGAATCGATGTCGCCGATCTCGATGATGCATGAATACTATCGAAAATTTCATTCCGCGAGAAATCTTCGTCTTTGTTTATAGAATTTTATTTAAAAAAAAATGTTACTTGATAGTCTCAAAATAACTCAGCTTTATATGACTTGTTCAATTATTTATTTGCGCAATGATTGTTTGTGGATAATAAACCTCTCTCGAGAAAGTTATTTGTCTAAAAACTAAGCAATAACTCGTATTAAAAAAAACGTTGAAGATCGATGTTTCCTTGAGATCATTGACTCCAGCAGCAAGTGAAAGCGGAAAGGAAAGATCATCTGCCATAAAATAAAAAACTTTCTCGAGTAATGCTAATCGATAAGTTAAGAAATAGAAGAAAGAGATAGGTAATTGGAGGATTCCGTCATCTAGGCGTACAAGGTAGCCAGATGACACACGAGCCAACCTCCTCTGTCAGGGTGAACTTCCGTTGGACCGGGCTGTGATTCATTGTGCGCTAAAGATGTATCGCTAGGAGTAGCTCGCGCGAAATCGCGTTCAGTCTGGCAGCTTCGAGTCGTGCAACCGGTCGTCGTCACGCTTTTGCTCTTCACCAGAAGGTGTTAAGCGAGCGTCGAACCGCGCGTGCATTTTCTCGCGGTGCGTCGCGAATGAACGACGTTCGCGCGTCGAAATGTTCATTAAATACGTGGACGTGTTAGTGGACGAGGGATACGCGTCGGATTCGTCGGCTGTAGGTATACATTCTGCTTCTTCGACTTTTTCGCGCCTGACTACTCTTCGAACTTTGTGGACATTATCACCCTACGCTTCGAATAGACATTCAGATTATTAAACAAAATTATTTATTTGTATTTGAGCTCTTGTTCTGAAGTTTGGAAAGTGCAAGTGGGTGTAACGATTTAACACTAAAACTACCAAGCCGGTCAAATGACCGCTCCGCAAGTTTCTTATTAAAAGGTATACATTTTGTTGAAGTACATTTCTTGAAATCGGAATTGATTTTCATCAAGATAAAGAATAAATGTGTGTACTAATTTATGTTTCATCGTTTGTTTATTCAATTTTTAACTTCATTTTTAATTTCAAATTAAGTACGCATTGTATGCCGGTTGGTTTAGTGTTAATCCTTCGAAGTGACACTGTTCTTGACTTTAGATGTTTTATAGAAATGTCTGTAGTTAGACATTCATTGTTATTAATCTACTGATGAGTAAATCTAGAATTAACCATTTAAATGAACGGGGATGTGCTTAGACAACATAATCATTTTGATATTCGTGTTAAACGTCACACGACACGTTACATCAAGTCAGTTCGATAAACCGAAAAAAAAATCAGTATCTGTTCTGTATACACATTCGATTATGATAATCGATCCGATTGTTACACGATCGATCACCGGATAATCCAGAGCGGAGACAAATTTAGGCTCGTTAAGGGGGCTCATCGTAAGTCCCGTAAGGATTGACAAAGATTTAGATACGTTGTTCGATCGAGTCTCGATACCAAATCGGATTCGTGCGGTGCGATCGACGGCTTATGAGAGAAGTGGTACGCTTTCGTCATGAAAGCAGCCGATTTGTGTGGGTGGTTCGATACCAGCGAGTGGTACAGCGTGAAAGCACGGTCGCATTTTAATTGAAAATTTCGTAGCGCACGTGGGAGCGAACGATAAACGGAGCGGCGTGAAAACGTTGGCGCGTGTTGAACCCTTGGCGAAGAAAAGGAGCAACACATCCGGGGAAAGAAGTGCAAATCACTGGGATATTTCCGTCGATGTATCACGTTGTTTAAAAACGAAACACGACCAAATTTATCATTGTTTTCGTTGCGTCGAACCGAAATAAGGATCGCCGTAGATAATTATTTACTCGAGACTGCATCTCCTTTTGGTTGCCGTGGGTGGAGCATTCCGGAGGAGTAAAATGTAGTATCGATTAAGCAATGAATCAACCGCGTGACCACGGTAGGATGGTTAATCGATGACTAGTCGAATTTACATAACTCGCCTAGATGTATCGCGAATAACAATTATTTGGATCGTTCAGGGCTGAAAACGAAGCCGAGTTCCGATCCCATTACCGCTCGCCGATGCAATATCGATTTTCACGCGTCGTTTGCAAAGGAAACGTTCCCAGTTTCTCAATTGCTTCCTTTTCCTACTTTCACAAACGCGAATTCTGCATTATCGTAATTGCCGTTCGCGAACGCTGGAATTGCGTAAAAAGTCATCGATTCGTTGGAAGGCGTGGTCGCGGTGAAACGAAAGCGCGCTATTTTTTGTTACCCGGATCATTCGACAGAAGATATTTCTCACCGTTCATTGTCGAATTAAAAAAAACTAAACGAATACGTGAAAGTTCGAACAGATTAAAAAGATATATCGTACACGTTTTATTCGTTTTAACGTTAAAATCTTGATTTAACGAAAGGTTCTAACGTTTCAGGTCCAGAGGCTGGCCGAATACGAAAGGTACTTGGGCCAAGAGGCACGAAACCTGGTGGAGAACGGAAACGGAAGCGTCGGAAGTGGCGCCGTTCTCCAGCGCGGTCAACTGGAAGGTGACCTTCATCGAATCCAGGAACTATTTCCTGGCGACAACCTCCGGCTACACGAACGAGATGTCCTCACTACGGTACTTTCATTTTTCGTCTCGTTATTTCGCGTAGAAAAATGTTCGCGAACGCACTTCCGCTGCGACTCAAGTTTGCGCGGAAAGAGAGAGGCAGACGTTGCACGATGAGTTTCAATGGTTCTCACGAGACTTTACTGCATTTTTTTCCTGGCACTCGTGGAAAGCTCGTTCATACACCAGACACGATGCTTTCCCACGCGTCTCATGGGACATTCTACCATGACAATGTCTGCTATGTTATTTGTGTAGATTATATTAAGCGGGAAGTGTGTTGCGCTTTTTGATCCGCACGATAAATTAGCTCGTTCAAGTTTTAAGGGCGACAGCGTGCAATTTCGTTCGAAGAAAAAAAGAGAAATTTTCATCTTCGCGTTAGTGGACGCGTATTTTTAGATGCTAGCGAAAGAAAATGTTTGAAATCTGCTTTTAATAATGATGACTTAGCGTTGGCAAGTCGTGACTCAAATACTGTATTTAATACTTTCGTAAACTCGTCGATGGAAATTTTCACTCATCGTAGATCCCTGTAGGATCTATATTGACAGAGATCTAAATCTAGATCTGTGGATCATCGTATTTTAAAACACCTAAATCTCTCGGTGCTTTGATCTCTGTGTCAGATACTTACATCTTTGGATCTCTACACTTCTCTAAATTTCCGATAACTCCCTACGTCCCTATCCCTAGAATAGATCCGTACTTCGTAGTCCAATTCGATCTACGATCCTTTCAAATTATCATTCCAGTTGCAGGAGGCGAATCGACAGTAATTTCTAAATTTACTCAAAATCCTGTGCAGGCATCATTCGTCGACTTTTTATTCGTCTTCCCACGTGATCGGTTAGCATACCGGGCGTGAAGAGTAAGATATTGTCAAGAGTAGTTTCTTAGTCGTCGCAGAGATTGTTTGTCGCACGCATTCCGAGCCGCGTGCTCGCGTTTCTCAATGCTCGAGTCGCATTATGCACGCAGCAGTCGAGCGTGTTCCCGCGAACGATGATGGAACGTTTCCTCGAATCGCGAAGAATCATCGCGAGTCAGCGGCGCGTTACCTTGATTTCTACAACGTTCATTAACATACGATAACGTAAAGAAACACGGCGTTTCTTTGAACGTGAGAGTCTGTTTGGCTCGGGACAACGTTGAGTTACGTTGTGAATCTCACTTGGAAGAGAGCAACGGGGACCGTACGTCGAGATTTCGTAAGAAAAAGGATTACGAGGTAGAGAAGTTTCGATCTTAAGCCGAAGTCCCAGTCTGTCTTGTCAAAGAGAAGTATGTTAATCAATCCGTCTTCTCGGTTTGTAATTTCGTGTACCCGTCGTACGTGTCTTGGATCCCTTTGATATATTTCGTTGTTATTTGTCAGACGTAGCTCGATGTGAACGGACGAGGATACGCGAAAGAATACCTCGTGACTTTTGTATAATTGATCGAAGTTTCATTGGGAAATTTTTAAACTTTGTAAAAAACGCAGAATAAAATAGTACTATATATAGAGGATATTGAACGTTTTTATTGCAGTAATATTTGAAGAGTTTAAAGAACTCTGACTCGTTTAATGAAATTGCTCCGAATAGCCATCCAGCTACCAGTTTCGTTTGACTGGCTAGGTTCAAGTACAAGTTTCATTAACGAGTTAGCTAGCTACCAGTAGTTGCTCGTGAAAATTTCGAACGGGTTTTATGCGAGACGATGCCTCACTGTCGGCGGATTGAGTCGGTGAAATAATGCTGTTAAGTCAGCCGAAAGTTAATGCGGCTTGGCACGTTGCCGTCCGGTTATTAGCCGCCTGCTGCGAGGATGATAATAATTTATGTCCTAGATCCGAGCATCAAAATTGGTCGTTACTTTGTTGACCCTTGAGCACGTTAACTGGATAGAAGCGTAGCTCGAGCCAACCGAACGATAATTTAATGCTAATCTCTTCTCAAGGTTCCCAATAGCGACGATGTTCTCCGCTCGATTTCCAATAGCGAATCTCTGCGTGATGTTTCGCACTTTTTTTATCGTTATTATTCTAGGACGTTGAACAGTGTAATTTCTACGTGTTACAGAAGATGAAGAGTCTGATTCGAAAGAGGAACGGCGGAAATCCAGGAAGGCTGACGAGAGTGCTGTCGCAAAAGTCGTTGAACGTGTCTAGCAACTCTCCGGCTCCAAAATCTCCGCCTAGAACCTTCCTCCTGGAAACTCCAGTTCAATTCACCACGGTAAGTGAATAGAACAATGTGCACTTATCGTAAACATCATTGTCTGCGTCCAAATAATTCGCATTGTTACATATTGTAATATTCGGCGGAGTTGAAAGGAAAGATTAACGAGGATATTATAAATAAAGCATTGTTTCTAAAATTGAAAGCCTAAACATTAGAGAAACTGTTTCTAATTATGTTTCTAAATTGTTCCTCGAGTCGAGAGATGAACGATAGTTGAAACGATAGAATACGTGATTCCATTCATGGAAAGAAATAGACGAATATAGTAATCTTGGTATAAGAATGTCCATTGCACCATTTGCTTCAAACTCAAGATCGGAATCTTCCCAGCGAAACTAATAATATTTCTCGGTTTTCAGGGTGTACAGTCGCAGGACAGACACCTCTTTCTGTTCTCCGATTTGTTACTCATAGCAAAGGCTCGAAGCGGTGGTAATTACAAACTGAAGCAGTCCGTGAGAATGAGCGAGCTATGGCTAACGGCCGGACATATAGAAGACGTGGCCGAAACGAGTAAATCTCAGGAGACCAGCTTCGTCCTCGGCTGGCCGACGACGAACGTCGTCGCCACTTTTATGTAAGTTCCTAATCTCTCCTTCTCGTGAGTAATACTGCAATCAACTCTTTATAGAGTCTACACTCCTTCTAGAACTTAAACTCCGTTTAGAACCGAGGATCCTCCTAAGGTTCTTTCCAGGACCTAGACTTTCTAGGCTTTTCTAAGACTTGGGTTCCCTAGAATCTAGACTTCCAGCAATATACTTTCAGATCATAAATTTCCCTCTACTTTCTAAGTTCTTAGATCCTACATTCCCTCTCTAAAGCTTTCCCTAGCTCCCAGCTCTCCTTAGACCACAAGCTCTCTCTAGGTGTTAGACTGTCGAAATTACGTTTTGCCGAGGATTGCGATGCTCGATTAGGCATTGTTGTATCGCATCACATCGTTTTCTTTTTGTTCCCAGGACTGCTGCAGCTAGGGATCTTTGGTGGGGACGTCTGACCGAGCTGGTACGAGAGGAGAGTATGAAGGAGCCACCGGACACGAACATTCAAGTCGTGTATCACGACAGTGACACGAACACGGAATACGTAAGTGCGCCTCCTCTCCGTCGCCGTGCACCAGAGAGATACACGCGGTCACGCCTTCACGGTCCATTCTTCGCACAGGGAGTTCGATCGGTTGACCTTCCTGAAGTAGCATTCCTCTTCAAAGATGCCCCGTTCATATATATGTACATCATTGACGTCAACGGGCGTGGATGAGTGGATCGTTCCTCACTAAAAGGAGCCTTCTCTATCTTTGGCTCTTTATCGACGCGGTTCCCTCGGTCGACGCGGTCATTATCGACCAAGGCAGCTCTCGTTGCACTTAAATAACCAGTCCGTTTCGACGTTGCTGGTTAAACGAGTCTCGAGTGTCTTTTCGTTAACTTGACCGAACGTGTATCTCCTCTGAAGTGCCATGTGCCTGTACCCGAATGTAGGCTACATTCTTTTCCGTGTTTGCAGTGCAAGACTATAATGGTTGGATCCGAAATGACGGCGGCAGCTTGCGTCAATTTAGCCACGCGATTGTTGGACCTGCAAGGACCGTTTCAACTGTGGGCTAGAACGTCCGCGGACGAGGCACCGTATCCGTTGATAGGTCACGAGAGACCTTTCGCCGTGAAATTATCCAATCTGCGGCATACGCTATCCGCGGAAGAGGGTTTCGATTTGGAACATTGCAACAAGAGTGGCCACGACACCTGTCACTTCATCCTCAGGCCTGTACCGAAGTCACCGGTCAAGAAGAACAAGTCCAAGATCACCGGATTGCTGAGGAGATCCCTGTCGTTGAACCCCAGTCTGTTTGGAGTCAACTTGTCCAAACTGGACGAGAACGGACTACCTAAACCCGTGTTAGTGATGCTGCAGCAACTGTTTGCCAAAGGGCCATTCACGCAGGGAATCTTCCGAAAATCTGGGAACGTGAGAATCGTCAGAGAACTGAGAGATCAGATCGAGTCTACCGGTGATCCCAGTTGTTTGGAGGATGCTCCTATTATCGCGGTGGCAGCTTTGCTCAAGGAATTCTTGAGGCATCTGCCGGATCCCCTTCTCACTTCTCACCTGCTTCCACTGTGGATGGACAGCTTAGACACGCCAAATCCTGTCCAAACTATTAAGAAGTAAGTTTATTAAAGAGAATGTTCAATTAAAAGAAGGAATAACTTTCTGGACATCAAATTTGTCTAAACATCGTTATCAAGTCTATTTTCATTTATGAAGTCTATTTTTTTTTTCAAGTCTTCCATAACAGAGCTGTTTGGATTAAATCAATGTTCCGAAAGTCATTCGCCCTTCTCGTAAAGAACAAACGCCTTTATTATTTCTATAAATAGTACACGATTATTAAACGATCGATGGTATGTTCCAGTATTTTAGATAGACTACCCAAAGCGAATTACACTCTTCTGTCGCACCTGATATGCGTGCTGCATCACGTGGCACGCAGGTCGAAGCACAACTTCATGTGTGCCAGTAATCTCGGTATCTGTTGCGGGCCGAGTTTACTTTGGTCGCCAAATCCTTCGGTCGATCAGGGCAAAGTAATTCCTACATTGACAGAGATGCTAATTCGTCATTGCGAGGTTCTTTTCGGCGAGGGTGTCACGCAATTGTTCGGCGAAGAACGCAGCGATAGCGGAGCCGAAGAGAGTACCGATAGCCTTCACTGTGAGTACCTTGCTCCTCTTCGTCGATTTCGATTTAGTCCGAAAATCGAACGTATCACTCGTACGAGATCGTTCTGTGTATTTTATTGAAAATATTATCTCGTTGCAGCAGGTGGGCTTTCCCTGGACAGCCTGGACCTGACGGAACCACCTCGCAAAGACCACATGTCTCTTTCGAGAGACTCCGGTCTGACACTGTCGGATTGTCAGCTGTTCATTCCAGAATCTCCGGTGGGCTCCGAGGATTCTGCCGTGAACGCTTCGACGACGAGCTTCGATAAGTCGCTCGTCAAGGAGGACAAGTCCACCAGCAAGTCGTACATTCGCGTCTACGGTGGTTGGGAAGAGAGAATAAACGGTTACACCGCGACCAATCATCACGCGAACAGTATCGAGCACGGCTTCAGGGAAGAGAAGAACGGTATTGGTTACCCGAATCCAAATTTTCAGAGGCAAGACTGGCTGAGAGCTCAGCTGAAGAGGACACCTCGAACGAAGCTCGACGAACACGATCATCGCAAGGACAGGTTCGACGAGAAAGACATCTACAGCAGGGAATACCTCAGGCAGGACTCGATGAAGGAAAACGTGGAGAATTGTAAGGACATTTACAGGAACTCGCAGCTGGACATCACGCGAGATCTCAGGTCGGAGTACGAGAGAGCGACGCAACAGGATATCTGTACGGAACGGGTCTCGATTCATAATTCGGAACAGGATCTGGCGGGCGACTCGTCTCTGTCCAGCGACCGATACGAGTTCAAGAAGGAACGCTTCAACGAGTTCAAAAAGGTCAAGTCGGAAATGTATGTTAATCGGGAATCTCCTGTCTCGCAGAACGGTAGCTACCACTCGGGCAGCGATCTGTACGAGTTCAAGAAAGTGAAGAGCGAGATATACGTGAACAAAGAGTCGACGCGCACGGAGAGATACGAATCTGAAAGTAGTATCTATGGTAATAGGGAGAGAACGAACGAGATGTACAGCGCAAGAGAGAGAAACGATCTGTACTCGTTCAAGCAAGCCGAGGCGATCGATTTGTACGGCGACGAGGACGAGGACGAGGAGAGAACTTGGCCGGATACACCGCCACCGCTTCCTCCACGACTGAGGCATCTGCCACCGGTGCACATGAATCTGGAAGACAGACACAAAGTGGCCGGAAGGTCAAGGTCTCTGCCGCCGCCGCCTCCTTATCGTCCACCTCCTCAACCTCGTGCTTCGGTTACCACGAGACATCTAGGATACGGAAGATCCGTCGTTGATGACGAGAGTTACGTTTAAAACAAGGTGCCACGAAACGAATGTGTCCGCGCGCCTTCGACGAAATCAAAGAACCGATAAGTCGCAGGTTCGAGGTCATCGTGTGTACGCGTTGGCTCGCGTACACGCGTGGTCTCGTTACGACTGAAACTAGTCCAAAACTGGGAACGCACGTGCGATATATCAGCAACAATATATAGCGACATGTAGAGTATCTAATTACGTCGTCAACGAGGAACGTTATGACCCAACAAATCCGAGGAGAGAAATTTATATAAAAGAAAAATAATTGTACGCGTAAAATAGTAAAGTCAAGGAAAACGCTATTCGTTGTTGGTGATTCTCTTTAGCGATAAATTTGACTGTTATATAGTGATTCAGGGTGCTTCCACGAGCCTTAATTATTAGGTTTCTTTTCTTCCCTTTTTTCTAATTAGACGTTCATATAGAATTATTATTGTTAAGTATATAGACTGTAGCGGACAAGACTTATGTCGAAATGATATTATTCGTAATCGTTTTCTTACGCGGGAAATATTTGTAAAAATGATACAATGTAACGTGTGTAAACTGCGCGTCGAACCGATACGATGAAAAAAAAGATCTCCGTGGACATTCGAGGAAAAATGTTGCAGTGTAACGAAGTCGTTTAGCATTCAATATTCGCGGAACGAATAACCTATAATAAAATGCAAATTTGATTGCAACCACGCCGAGAAAAGGGAGATATTCGTTTCCATTCGTTGTCTCCCGCGTCATCTTTAAATACGTTCACGTAGCCAAGCGCACATCTCTCAATCGAAATGTCTCGGAATTTCAAGATCGTTCCACGTTCGAAGACTCGTTTCGAGCAACAAAACAGCGTCAACTGCCCCCATCGCGTTTTATCAAGTTCCCCTCTCCATTCTCTGTATATTCGTATTTCATTTCCTTTATAATTTCTATCAGGAAATTGGTACATCGTGGAATAAACATGACAATTAATAACTCGTCTTCTCTCTCTTTTTCTCTCTCTTTCTCTGTTAATTATAATCTTTCTCTCATTTTTTTTTTAAGTTCGCAAACATAAATCGTAAAGTGCTTCGTACGCGGATGCAAACAGGCGATTATCTTGATTGTATAAGGTGTACGCAGAAGTTGTCAGTGTGTTTTAACCACATTCAAACTTTTCGTTTTTTGTATATATCAATGTACACTGTAATCTTTTATATCGCTAAACGTATATGATATACTATGCAATGCCGGTAAGGTATGTATACTTATCTATATAAATTATACGACATGCTATGAAAGTAAATATATTTCGTATTTTATACAGTTGCGTGTGTTCGATTATCTTAATGTTTGTTCTCCCATGTAGTATACCAATGACCACTTCTGACAAATCAAATCGCAAACGATCGTGTTTTCATTACCGTTCGAACGTAACCTGAACACGCGCTCCTTTTCCTGCTAAATTATTTCAAATGCATGGGGTTACATACGCGCGTCTCTACCATAAAATGCGAGCAAAATGTTTATGGACTACGAGGAGTTCGCCAGCCTTCAGCTAGATAAACCTATACCCGATATAAGAGTACGTAATATTGTAAGTTTCTCGAATCGATCGACACTTGAACAAAAAATATATCCTTAGGACGAAGAGCAGTTAAAAAAGCACAGTCTAGATCCTAACTTGGAGAAAAGGCCCATAGACAGGGCACTTCATCTTCTGACGTAAGTAATCTGAAATACATGTCGCTTCCGCTGAAAGTGAAAATTCAGCTTTTATAAGATCGACGTTATCCTTGAAGTTCTGTAATCATAGCAATTTCGCGCAATGATGCCTCGATAAACCACCGTATCGAGCCTTCAATGAAACTACGTAATTCCGCTCGATTATCGTATTCAGGCTGTGTAACGTAATCAATTAATTTTGTATAACGCTAAATGATGACTGTGCCAACAAAAATGGTTTTCGTGCGATGCTTGTAGCTTTATACGTGCTATTGTGCTCCGGCCACAGATCCTTTGTTGAGCGCTGAGTACATAGTAGATTGTCACGCGTTTATAAACCTGTTCAGAGTCATTAGCGAGATTTTACTGCTATGTTAATATTCATCGGATATGCGCATACTGAAGTGCAAACAGTATTCCTTTTTAGAAATGTGCAAACGACGCTCCATAGCTTGATATGCATCATCGAACGAGAATCGCAAAATGACTACATCGATTCATCGGATTACACAACATCGGCTACCGATCAACGCATCACTCTATTGTATTACGCGCGAGACAGCATTACGTGTTTTCATCAGCAGCGCACGTAGGTCGCGCTCGGATTATTTCGGTTAGATTCGGGTATGCTCGACACCTCGTACGCTAAGTCAGATATAATCGATACCTTGGAGTCAGAGCCCAGTTTAGTTGTCATCTACGTTCCGTCGTGTTGTTTTTCTTGCGTTTAAGTGCGTCATGAGAGTGCGTACGCGTGTATCGTCATTCGTGTAAAAGATCGATTGGTGTATTGGCCGTTTCCTCGTATTATCGTTGAATAAGATGCGCCTTGAAAATGTTGCAAGAAGAAGCTCTGTTCAAGAGCGCATCCCCTCAGTAAGTAGTTTAGAGGAGATAGTTTTCAGTTAGAAAATCATGCGCTCGTAATCGCGGCCCCGCTCTTCTTGCCCGTTTCATTTTCGTACGAACTCGTGCATGGTTTCTAAAAATAACGCAGCGTCGTTCAAGAGGTGTACTGTCCTATCATCTAAGAGTCGCTAATTATAGTCTTTTAAAGAACAGACACTCGTAAAAAAATGACATTATACGTACGAGTAATTCGCGAGTACTTAGCTAAGACTGTGATTAGGCATTGTACAGTTCTTCGATGTAGGTTACTCCGAAAATTAACTGTATCATCGAATGTCTCTTTCTTCTATCGTTTCTTATAATTCGATCGCGATATTAATTATTAATATCGAATTTATGAAGCGTTAAAATCACAGTACTGCACGTAACTTTCCGTATATAAACAGTATGTCAGTGAAAACATTGTCACATGCTTCAAAAGGACATGTTACATAAAGATCTTGTCCTTGGAGGATGCATACATTTGAAAATAACGCGAGAGTGACGAAATTATCCGTAGAAAATTAATGTCGTGACATTTCATTCCAAGTAAATTGAATAAAATACTTTTATTTTTTTAATAACAAATTAGTTTGCCGAGTGTAATCTTGCTCTTATGTTTATAATGTTTTCAGGAAAGGCGATGAAATTCAAAAACTTAATTTTATACAAACATTACCAAACCTCTTGGCCTCAGACACAGAATCATGTATGACTCGTGTGATACCAAAAGTACAGCAGTCCTTGTCCACTGCATCCACAGAATTTCACATTGCGGCTTCATCCACGTTCAAAACGATATTAGAGCAGAAACTTGTCAGCCATAATGTCTTCAGTCGAACATTCCTCCAAAGTATCTTAAATTCGCTTGAAAAGCGTGATCCAGGTAAAGTAATTTTTTCCACTTGTAAGTTAGAATTGCTAGCTAAGCCTGTATCTACATTTTCATGCATTTGGTGTTATTCTACATAATTAAACATGTATATATACATTTAAAGTTATCTGTCATGCATGGCTGGAGACCTTACTGGATGTGATAGAGTTACTGCCGGTAGAAGTCATAAGAAAGCAGGTTTGTATAGATGATCTTAGAAATTGATATTCAGAAAACATCATATAGAAGGGCAAATAGGTTGTCATCTCATGTAGCACACGTGTAATTTCATAATACTTAAATTATAGTAGATCAGTAATAAAGTTGACTTGTTTTTGTTGTTCTGCGCTAGACTAAGCATCAAGTACTCTATCAGAAATCACTTGTTGCAAATGAATCGCTATGTATTTGACATAGCTTTGATGGTACAATCGATTAACAAAATTTAAACATTATTCGAATCTACTATGATAGTAATATCGACCAGATGATAATAAAAATAAAATCATACAGATTCTTCCATTGACTATAAGCAAAGGACAATTGTCACAACCTGTCCACTCCAGGATAACGTGCAGCACAATATTAGGAAAGATTTGTACAAGATTTGAATCTGCTCTGTGAGTATGTTTCATCTTATCAGAAGTATTATCAATTTGCTTTACTAGGGGGGTACCAGTTGAATAATATTTTTGAGGAATTAAATATACAAAATTTTAATAGCGTGCAAACTATATATATCCAAAAAAGATAATTTTATTTTCATAAAGTCGTTAAATAAGTATACGTATTAAAATTGTTGTCAGGATACAGAAGGAAGTTCTACCAATGGTACACTCCCTCTGTCAGGATGTAAATAGTGAAGTACGAGCTAGTATCTGCTTGCAGCTACGTTTTGTTGCTGAAGGCCTTGGTGCTGAGTCTATAAAACCTGCTTTGCTACCATCTCTCGTAGAATTAGCAAATGACGAAGAAATCAATGTAAGATGCGCCTCTGTACATACAATAGCGCATTTGCTACCTCATCTTCAGGAAGGTATGCTTGATGATTAGTTGTGCACTAAAAGCGTTTTGAATTTACTCGTAGTGAATTGCGTCTTAATTACTTTGTATGTACATTTACTTTGAAATCAAAATACAGTCTTTACAATGATCGTTTACAGATTCGATAAAAACTATCATAGTGCCACTTATAAAAAAATTATGTGAAAATTCGATGCGGTCAGACGATAACGTAGTATGTGTTATTGCTCAGGAGTTCGGAAAAATCGTACTTGGCATCGAAAGTAAGATCTTTTAATAATTTGATATTTATATGCGATTACAGTATGATATTCGATCCGTATTTTAGAGTCCTTACAACCTCTGGAGAAAACATGGTTTTTAAAGTACTTTCAGCAACTTGCACAAATGGGTGTTCTTACGAGTATAAAAAAAGAATCCAAACCAAATCTTCCATTTGTAAGTACATATAAATATAAAAGTGAAACCAATATACACGAAGTTTCAAGATAAAGTTCAGTGTACGAATCGCATTGTTTCAGATGAATAGTAATCCTGCTGAAGATGAGAAATATGTGGAATGCAGAAGGTTTTGCGCTTTTAATTTGCCTGCAATGTTTATCTTTGTATCCAATTCTTCAGATGACACGGACGCCTTGCTTCATACATTCACAGCATTAGCCAGTGATCACTATTTCTTGGTTAGGAGAACTGTAGCATGTGGAGTTCATGAAGTAAGAATTTCTATTTCTTTACGCCCTATAGTTGCATAGTATAATATAATTACTTCATTTATAAAATACAGGTGGCCAAGGTATTGGGCCCGCAGAGCGGACGAATAACGACAGACATAATCAAATTATTAAAAGATAATTCTGAAGAAGTTTTGCAAGGTTTAGTTCCTAATCTAGGAGTAACGCTTGATTGTTTAGCCGAAAGTCAAATTATCGGGATAGATAGGGTGGTTTGTATATTTTCTTTCGTCTTATATTCTGCATAATAAATTCCTCTGTACTACATTGCATAATTTATTGAAACCAGGATACCACAGTTATGGAAATAGGTAGAGCATTGTTAAAATGTGAATCGGAAATAGCATCGACACACAATTGGAGATTAGCAGTATTAATGTATTCGCAACTTGAAGTAATACCTAAATACTTTTCAAGTGATTTTATCTATTCATATTTCGTGCCAATGGCTTTTTTCAGAATATTACACGCCGTAAGTTACAAGAACAAGTACTTATATTTAGTAGGCTAAAGAATTCTACACTGGGTAAGCTATTTTATCGCTGTTAATTTTCAGAGGCCAATACCCGTACGTCTCGCTGCAGGAACTTTGTTCCTTTTTCTTTTACGTTACAATACGAAACCTATGCAAAAGGTAGAGCTTCGAATTAAATTATACAGACAGTTGGCTAATAATCCTGATTGTTACGTGAGAATGATGTTCGTTCGTATGATGATAGAGGCCATGGAAATTTTCTCGTCTGTATATTTCAAGGAACACTTTTTTACTGTTTTATTGAACTTGGCAGAAGATAATGTACCTAATATAAGATTGAAAGTAGTTTCTCTGTTACCTCAATTAAAGAGTCAGTTACGGATGCCAACCGATAAGAAATTGTTAACTGCGTTAGAGGCAACTATAAGACATTTAAGAAACAGTGAAAAGGATAGAGATGTGCTTGCCACGTTGTCCGAAGCTTTACAAAAACTGGATGAAGTAGAACTTAAATTTGAAGGTCAAACTGTAAGTAGACGTAAACATAGATTAGACGTATATAACGTGAAGTATTCCTAATAAAATATTTTATTTTAGCCAACCGGTACACTTACAAAACAAGATGCCGAAGATAATAGAAAATTAGAAGAAGAAAAAAGATTGTCAGGAATAGCTATTGGAAAATCTCCACCAGGGAGGGGAGCAACAGCGAAAAGGGGTATGTCTTAATGAATTTCAATAAATAAATGTCACAGCGACATGAAATGTAATTTTAAAATATACTTATAGGTAGTTGGCGTCGGGCAACTATTGATACCGCTGGGAAGTCAGTGTAAGTTACATTTTTGTTGAAATTGTAAATCTTAACCTAAAAAACTTCTCGTCGTACGCACAACTAATTTAACATATTTTATTTTTTTCAGATCGCAGCCGACATCTCAAGGTGAATTCATATCATGTTTCTTGTTGGTACAAGCTTAGAGTTTTAAATTAACAAGTAAAATGAATCGCATATGTTCTAGATCGTGTACCGTCTCCTCGTCAGTCGAGTGAACCATCGAAAGGGAGGTATGCGAACTATGTACTTCTTCATTTACTGTATTTAGAAATGAAAGTAACATTAGCTTTAAACACAATACTAACATCTAATTTAATGATACTAATTTCAATCAGATATAATTGTACAGCTCGTTAAAGCATTCGTAGATGTTTTTGAGACTGACTTACGAGCTAAAATCTAACATTGACATCTTTTTAACTTACTAATAATATTAACAGAAGTCTAATATTAAGTTCTGCACGCTTTACATCTAACAGAATTCAACTAGCACATCCTTGGGAAAGAATAGGGCATACCAACTCAAACATTAACACAACCGATACTACTAACTTTGACAACGGATCGTGCAGTGATTACGTTACGCAAAAGGCGCAGCAAAGCCGTTCGAAATTAGCGTTGCCATTTATACTGTGGCCAGAAACGTGCGAATGCGACTACGCGGAAGACTACGCTTTCCATTCTTGTCCCTCGTCCGCTTACGCGAAGTCTGTCTTCTTGGCGATCATGAGAGAGAACAGGCGAAGGTCGCAGCAAAATTTCCTACTAACCCGAAATTATGCACGCGAGTTTCCTACTAACATAGCCAGCAAGGACACTGCCACTCTCAGAACGTTTCCAGCTCATTATAACCCTTGTTGGCCTTGTAGCTCAATGCCCGAGATACCTGTTATGCTGTCGGACGACGAGTTCCTTGTGGATGCTGGTATCAGAATACCGGCGCAATTCTCTCAGAGCGTTTCCAAGATACCTCATCTTCAAGATCCAGTGTTTGGCAAGAGGAGAACCTCGTTCAATGTGAATCGTGCTGGTGGACGGACAACAAGTATGAGCTTCGACAAAGGCAAGCCCAAGAGAAACTCTTCCGTGGAATACGAGGATTGTATCAAGCGTAAAACGAACGGTGCTGACCAGACGAACAATGTCAGGACTTCGATCGATTGCGAGGATGGTTTAAGTCTCGTGAAGCAGTCTGCTCAACAACTCGATAAGAAGAACCCAGGATATCTTGGGCCAATGATGAGGTCGAGGTTCGGCTTTGGCGTCAATCAGGAAAGACCCATGGACGATAAAATGAAGCGACGAAACTCGTTAATCTTAGAAAAGGACAAGCCTAAAGTCGTGCAGACGAAGTGCATGCTAGACAGGACTAAACGTCACTCCGCGAACTTTAGTTTAAAATTGCTAGACTCGAAAGAGACCAAGCCTAATCTGAAAGAACAACATAGCCTGGAGGTGACCGACTACGCGTCCACGGAACGCCTACGTCGTGCGTTGAGGCGGTATTCAACGTTAGACGTGAATCATAATCAGGGACACAGTAAGATACCATTAAGGAGTTTTGTACGACGTAGTAGAACCGCGCCCGCCACTAGGGCTTCCAGCCCTGTAAGCTCGCAGTTAAGGTACGAGGAGATCGATAAGCTGTGCCGAAAATTCCAAGAGTACCAACTCTATTAAAATACGGTTGCGTGAATGCATTTAAAGCGTCGATTAGACTGAGATGAAAACATCGATCATTCTCTGCATGTCCTGGTTCCAATTTCACATCTAATCTGTTGCTAAGATATTACGTCACAGTCAGGGATAGACTATACGTTTCGTGGGACAAGTTTATTCGTTTCGTTTGTTAACAGTCTCGTTTTAAAGTCGTTCTTGCAGTATTTTAATTGGAGAATTATTCTTCGATGAAAGAGAGGCAGCAGGTATTTTACAAATTTAAAGCAGTTTTACCTACTTTACTGTCTTAACCTATTCTCAAACCGCCTTGTATAGTTTGATGCAATGTAGGCTTCCTTTGGATAAGGATTAGCGTAGGGGGAGAAACATCTCACCAAATTTTCGAACAAGGAGAATTTAGTTTTAAAACTTGTCTCTGTTCAGTAGGATACTCTTTTCCTTACCCTTACCCTTGACTAAAGGAAACCTAAGCTGCACGCAACCGTACATTCTTCGCTTTTTATAACGTATATTAAACGTATACAATTGGCAGAAGAATGTTCGCATGCTAGAGTATTAAAATGACACAGGTATTTAAGTGCTTCATAAATTATACTTACAGTGATCGGCAATAACGAATGAGACTGAGAACACGTCAAATATTATAAGTGGAGGATGTTCCACGAAGTTTACTTTTATCGTGCGTTACGATATTATGCATTTCTTGAACGATCGTATTTGTCGAGACAATTACTTAGGCATCCAGGATTCGAATTAAATTTCCATTTCTTTTAGAAATATGATATTAATAGTCCCACGTTAAAGAGACAGTTTATTTTCGAATAAATTTGCTGTTCGATTGAAGATGCACCGCAATTTTAATGTTTAAAGTTGGAAGACTGTTTTTATTAGACGTATTGAATTTCGTAAGGGTAAAAGAATAAGACTATATTTTGCACTTTATTTTATAGCTGCATAACTAATACGTAATTGGTCTACTATTTATCAAAGTTCACTCACCGATCGAATATATTCTAATAGATGATTATATATAGGAGAAACACACGAGATAAACGAATTTTAGGATTAAATTTATCTTGATAGCCAATTTTAGGTCTAGTCCCGAGTAGTTATTAATCATCCGCAGAAGGCGTTTCTTTTTCTTTATTTGTTCTTTAATCGATACAATACCTGTATTCCGCTTTGTTAGCCGCTCTTATTTTTTAACCAATTCAATCCTTAGAAAACACGTTTTTTAATAGAATCTTTTACCATGTTTTTTTTTCTAACTTTTTAAACGTAGCGTAATATACGAACACAGCCTAGCGTAACACTTATAGCGTGCGGTACTAAGCGTTTTAATTGAACCGTTTCTCATTCCGCGAGAAGCGTGTTAGCCATTATAAATACACTAGCTATCGTAATTTTCGATCGATTTACGAGCATCGACGTTAACCGATTACTTTTTATTCAAAGAACAAACGAAAACAAAGAACCAGTGAATTTACGCGAGAAGCGAAGTAATTTTTGGAGCGCAACTTTAGGGATACTCGATTCCCCGACACACTTCCTCTAACGAAACGTTGAACGATCAACTCTAATCCCTGGAACACTGTCGTGTCTTAAACCCAGAAATATCTACGAAAATATCATACAGTCTTAGAAAAAAGAGAAAATTAATACATATATAACATTGTACATAAGGACTGACCAAAAAAAAGACAATTTAGCGAACGTTTGCGCAGCTAGTTTCAATGAAAATGCTGCAAAATTTATCGTCTTAACATCGTCAGAAGAAATATATACGTATTATGCAGTGTATATTTAAAGAGAGAAAGAGAGAGAGGACACGTATAATATCTTCGCAGAATATTTTCATTGAGCTTCTAAATAGATGTATTTTAGGGTGAAAGGAGAGAAAGAAAGAAAGAATATACAAGACGCTTCGAAGCCAAAGATGAATTCTAACGATATATACGAACAACGTACAAACTCTTAAAGGCATTATGTACTTGTATCATGTACATATATGTTGCGTAAGCTTTACACAGTGCAAGTGCCATTGAACGTACGCGCCTGGGAGATTTCGATGCCTGGAAAAGAAGGAAAAGAAAAGACACGAGAATGCTCTTTGAACGCCCAAAAATACATATATACGTCTATCACGATATCTTCGAAATATGTGATATAGTAGTCCGAATACTTTGATGGCTGTTATCGTATTCATGAGTTTGTAATAATTAATTGCAGTTGCAACATTAATTTTATAGGATAGCCGTATGGAGGTAATATTACATCCGTAACTTTTGTACCATGCAAAATTACCACATTTCGAGGTATAATTTGTGCATTAGTAATAACACGAATATTAACGGTAATAACGTAGAAATTTACATTTTGGTAATTAGCGACGGCAGCTATCAAAGTATGAAAAATATTAAAAGTTCAAAAATCGAGTCATCGTTTCGTTTTTCTTCATCTTTTTATCTTCCACTTTCTCTGGTCATCTTTCCGAGCAGTCACTCGTACATGATTCTTCTTCTTTCTTTTTCTAATAGAAGATTTTAAAAGATCGCTAGTCAATCCAGTTTTCACAAAGTTCGTTTTGTAATTAACGAAAAAGAGGAACAGAATATTCTTTTTTTTCTCTCGCGCTGAACACCAAGAAATAGAACACACACTTTTACGCTTAGAGAATTTAGATGAAACGCAACTTTTACCGATCGATTGTTGCCGCGTTACGATATTAATTATTTTGTTATAATATGTAAGATCGTACGGCTAACGACTTATACACGTAACATAGCGAAGCTTGTTGTATTATTTTTATAGAAAACTTTAGGGTAACATCAATCGTACGATTTCGTGAATCTGATATTTATAGGCCTATCTTTATTTAAATATAAATATCTTCAGTTCATGAACGTAAAAGAATTTTTCGAGTTATCCTTATGGCTTATCTCTTTATGGTTCAGATGTAATTCTCGAGAAAGATAAATAGCTTCTTTTTATACTTGGCTATCTTTATTTTGTGAGCGTCCATAAAATGGATCTCCCATTCTTTGCTTTAACACGCGGTTCTAAAGTGTTGGACACTTGTACTCTTCAAGTAAAATAAAAATAGAAGAATATCGACTGAACTTGAAATCGAAATTAATCAAGAAAGAACAATGGACAATAATAGTAACTACACGAGGATGTCTTTAAGCAAGCAAAGCAAAAAATGGTCCAAACTTACTAACATTTCATTTTTATTAATTGAACTTACAAGTAGAAACGGTTTTTCGAAATCGTATGGTTGTTCGTTCACCAGGCGACGAAACTTCTTTTTTATAGGAAATCTTAGAATATATATATATACATATTACATAGTTATATACATACGTACGTTAAGTATACATGATTTAACGAGATTGAACAAATTGTTAAATATGCAAACTAGGAGCGTCCGTAGAACGAGTTCCATGCGCGGTCCGAGGAAAAGCAAACGAAAATAAAAGTGCGAGAAAAGAGAAGCAAAAAATTAAGAGACGAAGAACGAGCGCGCGTTTAGCGAGGATTAGGAAAAAAGGGATGAACACGAGGAAAGTAAAGTTTCTGAAATATCTTCGCGAAGAACAATAACCGCTTAAATGCTGCTCCTTATTTTTGTACAGGATCTTACCGTGTGCGTGTAAATGTTTCACTTCTGTGCCAGAAAGTAAACGTGTTTGCGAAGAATTATTGCAGAAGAGAGGATGTACACGCGTTATGGCTCTGTAACGAATGTTTCAAGTAATTGTTGAACATATACTCGTTCCTTTGTACACGAAGAAACGAGTAGTTTTATCGCTGACACTGTTATATTATTACAATTATATAAATGCGTATATTACGTATGAGAAAATATGAAAAGAAAAAAAAAAGATAGATTTTTCCTTTATCCTCGATCGTTGCTCGTCGATCAATTATTTTAAACGTTGGCCATGAACGAATTAAAGGGAAGAGAATTCATTATATTAGCTCGTTAGAAAATCTGTGGCCTGTATTTTTCTCGAGAAGGAGTAATCTGTGATGAACAAACAAAAGAGATACATATTTAAACACGAGAACAAATAATACGAATAAAAATACGCGTTCACGCGCACGCGATGAACGATAATTCGTCGAACGATATTTTTTATTACTCTTAACTGTTTCCGTATGGAATACAAGGAATGTAAAACGAAAGGAGAGGGAGAAAGAGAAGTGTATTTTTCTGAGGTATATCTGTAAAACGAAAACAATCTAGTTAAATGTGAAGAGAATAAAGAAACACCACGATCGTAGATTTTATTGGCTCTGTCGATATTATTATTATTATTATGATTATTAATTATTATTAATATTATTATGATTATACATCTATTTTAACATAAGTTATGAACAATAAATCGAACCTTTTTTGTTACGCAATACGATGTTTCTTCTGGAAAGAAATACCTCTTCCTTCATTCTTTATTATCTGCTTTGGGACACGTGGAAAAGAAACTCAGAGGATTACTTTTAATCTTTTTATTTCTTCTACTTTCTTAATAAATCAGTGACTCGAGTCGCTACAAACTGTGTATGAGTTCAATTTATAATTTACTTAAGAAATACGTAATAATGATTTTTGTTTGATCACCCTCGCTCATTCACACGCACCCGCTTACCTTGATTATTAAAAAAAAGAAAATGAACAATTCTTCGAAAGGTAATCGATCAGATTTATATTCGATGAAATGCGCGCTTCAACGTGAAATTGTGACCCAGCACGTAAGCTTATTGTTTTTCTTCTCAAATTCATCGATTTTTACCCTCGAAAATAAATCTTCATTTATGTATACATTTTCTCGCGATTCTTTTCGATCATTTCTTTTTACTCGATCATCTAAAATACTGTCTTTCCAGTCTATATAATATTTCTTCTTCTTTGTTAACCCCTTGCCTTATTGTTTATATATAAAGAATGAACGGAATGTTTTACGTAAGTTGTCATTGGAAAGTCTCGACTTTGTAAATGAATATTCACTTACAATTTCTTTTGTTACAGTAGAATTCGATTTTATAAAGCAGGGGGTTAAAAGGGAGGGAATTAAATTGTTAACGCGTTGACCGACACTGGTAGAATTACTAGTGCATAATGGTATTCTGAAATTCGTTTCGTTTTGTTTTTCATAAATCTCCTAGCAGTCAACGCGTTAAAGGACGATTTGTTCACGATCGATTTTTCCTATAAAATTTGATATAAACAGCAATCTTCATCAATACTTTGCCAATCGTTCGAGTCGTTAGCGATATATTAATTTATCCGTTTTTCATTTTCAATTTAAACATAAACGCTTAATCATTTCATAGCTCAAGATAGATGTACTCGATCGATTGGTAAAGTGTCAAGCTCTTTTTTCAAGTGTATTCGAACAGTCTGAACCGAACAACTTTTCTCTAGCTTTTGAGAACGGATTGTCAAAGTAAACGGATTTCGACTTCTTCGTACGTATGCTCTAATTATCAGCTAATGGAATTCTCACTTTGTTCGCTCATTAAGTACACGCTTATCATTCTTGACGCGTGCCATTTTTTCATGGTGTGAATGAATAAAGTAACAGATGAATAAAGATGGCACGGTTGTACATCACATGCGAAACCTTTACGCGGAACAGACTCATCTCGGAATGATTCGTGTACAACCCCGTGCAACGATGATTTCCGTCGCCAAGGAAAAACGACTACGTTCGTCGAGAATTTTAAAACGGCTATACTTTATGATTAGGGTATATACGAATTCCAATAAACCACCTTTGCACTCAAGTACTCGGCGAATATTAAACGATTAATGGGAGATCTACATTCTTCCTCAATAGAAATCATTATTGCACACGATTGTACATGTTCCTTCATATTCACACGATCATTATTTATATGATCAACAGACCGTCTACTGAAAATGTTATGTACATTTCGTGCTTCGATGCTATCGATCTCTTTACGTTATCTCTTCTGTACTTTTGTACATTTCCAAATAAGTCATCTGATGCAAAAATCATATTTTGTATTGCTCGAGTTAAATAAGGCTTGGAATTTCAATCTCTATAAAGACGTGAAAGTTACATCGATCTGACACGCTATTATCGTTAAAACGTTCGCCGGATAATCGTAATTCCAGAACACTCCGGTAAGAACGTTCGCACACCGTTTCGCGTTAAGTAGAGAGGCGCGAAAAGATACAACTTCGATTGCACTTCCTTTATTCTTACCCGTAATTTCTACGATCGCGTGCAATAAAGAGCGTACTAAACCGGTAGCATCGACAGCGCGAATAACGGATTTCGCTGCTTGCGGCGCAAACGGTAGCTTCTCTCGAACCAAATGCAAAGGAATTCTAACCGATTCCTAACCCGGATGACCCCGTTTACCGTATGGAAATCACCGCTGATTAACGCACGGTGAATGAATTCCTAATCGAGTGCTAACGTAACTACAATAGCGGCCAAATTAATTTTCTCGTACAAAATAACACTCGATACAAACAGAACTACGATATTTTCGAAATATTTGCAAAAAATATCGAAAGAGTTGCATGAATTTCACTGTTCAAACGAATACGTATTCGGGTTAGGGCTCCTGCAAAGTTTACACAGAGAAGTTCGCAAACAGGGAGGAAATTTCGCCAGTCTCTTTCTCCCTTACTAGAGATTCGTATGCTACATAGTTTCTGTGTGTGTGTGTATGTGTGTGCGCGCGCGGTAAAGCGTTTCAGATTGCTCGTATCGCATAAATAATCCCTGACGACAATACGGCTCGCTCTCCCGTCATTAAACACTCTCCGCAAATCAATTATCACCCCGGCGAACGTGCAATTACAAACACGGTTGTCGAACAGAGCGATGAAAAGTGAAATCAATCGGAACCCATGAGAATGGATCCTCTCTGAAGACGATTCGAGCGCATTTCATCGCACTACAACTTTCTCTCTGTTCACGTTCTTTATGTACACGTAAAAAGTCGTCTTTACCAGCGGATTCTTCTTGGATCACAAAATAAAAGAGTCTCGAATACGCTAATGCCACACACCGACTACGTATATGTACAGAAATTATAAACAGAGCGTGTATAATACCCTTGGAAACTTTATCATCTATTTGTAGTCAATATATTTATATTTATATATATAATATGTATATCATTAGTAAATTCTTAGATATGGTTGTTCTAGGCTCGAAAACTGTCGCACGTTATCCTTGACGATGTCGCTTTCAATTCCATTTTATTCCTCGTCGCAAGCTCGTCGCGTACACATTTTGAATTTGAACACTCAGAAATTCGATAATCTTGGTGTAATTCTTAATCAAAGCGTTGTAAAGGTATTAAGTACATTTTTCGCGATTGCAAATTTTCAAATCTATGGAAATGAAATTCAAAAGCGATTTCATTCCTTTGCGCTCTCACGTATTACGAACGGAGGGATTAACGTTACTAAAATCCTGCAGCAATTCTAGAAAACGAAATCTGAGAGCTTCCAACTTTTTCTTCTCGCATTATCAGGGAGTTCCCAACTTTGTCCCCGCGTTTAAGGGATCGACTAAATTTGATACAGTCACCTGTTACTGGCTAAAGGGTTCAAGATTTCCTTGCACGATTCACTGAAATCCTACAAAAGTCCTGCAGAAACGAAATTCCAAGGCTTCCAACTTCATTCCCTCGCACTCTCGTGTGTTACCGAACTTGAATCCTTAAAAGACTTCTACCCTCCTTGGTTCAATCGTCCTAACATTTCGAAACATCTTTATCGTTGTCTTTAGGCCGCCAGTCTATCGAGAATATGCAACTAGCCCAAGTGAACACAATTTTTAAAAATGGGAACGACGATGCTATATTTAATTTATAATAAATTGCATACGAAATTGGTAGATCTACTTCTACTTTTTATATCGAATCTCTCCTAGGATACATATGTGTACGTTTAGTCTTTTATTCAATAATTAATGCAGCGTTTGGATGCTACATCTAGGACATTTTAACTAGAAATGGCAGTGTTCTTAAACTATTTCGTCTGGAATATCGTGCATCTAGCTTTCGACCTGTACGCGATAGTCCCTTTTACAGTAAAAATATAGTATTACTACGGTAGTACTTACTTAACTTTGACTAGCATGTGTTTATAGAACTGGATTCCCAATCTCGCGGGCTCGCTAAAGTCGCGATAATTCTCTGATAACCGAAAATTCAATATCCTCTTTTCCGATTAAATTGTTAGCGCGATTGGGAATCATCGGTGCAACAGAATTTATCTGTTATCATTCTTAAATGTATACAATATTTTTCACTGAATGTATGGGGTACGATATCGGCTTTAGATTAAAGAGTATACTTTTTTTTCATTCGACAATAGTACAATCTAATAATAACTCTCTGGGATTCGACGATCCATAAGAGAAATATAAGGTCGATCGCTTTCTTTCTTTAATTCTACTACGATACCTGATCTCTCAATATTAAGTACCTTTCGTGTCGTGTTCTATAAATTATTCGTACAGAGAATACGAGTTTTATATGCGATAAGAAATTCGGAAAAGTTTGGACAGTGACTTGGTATCGGTACCAAAGTGAAAACTTTGTTTCTCTTTATTAACCCTTCTCCAGATTTCTCGTTAGGCCCTTAAGTACCAGTTTACCGAATCGGTAAATTTGCCTTGTCAATTTCAAAATAGTCGATTATATTTTGCAAGCATCAAGCTTTGAGGCCTTATAATTCGAAGAAGGGTTAATTCGCGTATGATACATGTTATCGTCATATTATATCGTGGAACAGTAATGGGCAGATGAAGAACCGACAATTTACAAATTTAGAGATAGAAATATCGAATTTGGAAATTTAGCAATGTAGAGATTTGAAATTTTAAAATTGAGAAACTTCTATCCGACAGTGCCATATGCGCGTTCATGGCCCTCAGGATCGCCCATCACTGTTACAAAAGCCACGGAACACGTTCGACGCACGGAATGCAGAGTAGAAAATAAAAGAGTGAGATCTCTTCCATCTTTCGTTAAAAAAGTTCGAAAGGGGTTACAGTTAGAAAGATCGCTCGAAGAGAGCTGCGCACGAGAAAATTATATTATAAATCTCTAGCTTTTTAGATATCTCCTACGATTTTAACCACACAGCAACTATTATCATCTTGTTCAGTCTTGTGATAATACTACTTTAATACTTTTACAATTCGTTATAGAGTCAACTGTGGCATATATATATATGTATCTTAATTTTTTATACAAGTTATCCATCTGTGTTGAGAGAAGAGTGCGACTCCTCCACCGATTTGCTTTTCTTTCCTCAGCAAAAACGTAGCGTGTTAAAAAAGATATAAGTGTGGCGTTGCTACGTACGATGTGATCGTTAAAAAAGACAAGAACACACCGTGAAGATTTTCTTTAACACACGACGGACGTAGATTTTATATTACAATTACTGTTGCTGACAAAAAACAATTCCTTTCGCGTGTCGCTAAAGGGGCTTCGTGCGGGTGCAAAATACAGAGATATATTGTCGTTTGAATCGTGATTTCCGGTTAACTTTACATTGTTCAATGAACCTCTAATACGGCACGGTAAAACGCTCGATGTTCACCGTTCATCTTTTTGATTTTGAATACTGATTTGATTATCCGCTCCGTGGAGCATTAACACGTTGTACATGAAACAGAATTAATCTGCTTTAATAATATCTCGATGCGAAAACATTCAATATTTGATATTCTCTTCATTCTTATTCTCCGTTTCTTCATTTTTCTTTTTTAATTAATCAGCGTATATAATTCCTAGCATTGCTACATTATTGCGTTCAGTATCACTGCATTAATATCCATCGATCACACGCCTAGATTAATCTTCGGTGCAAGAGATTAGCAGAGCAAGAAGAGAAATAAACGCGGAGATCAAGGTGCTCGTGTATGCATTCTTTTCTTTTCGACATTTGTGGTTAAAGAAGTCTGAAGCTGTGCAGACATAAAATAGGCCTAACTAATCTAACAATAAGTAGATTCTCCTCATCGATACTTCTCCTAGCTCCTTGCTTAACCGTCTACGTTATAAATAGTTTTATTATCAAAAAGATCCTGCACCATCGAAGTAAAAATAAATATTCCTCTTTCTTTTTTCTCTCTCTCTTTTGCTTCATCTTCATCTTTTTTTTGGTAAAGAATTCCATATAGACATATTATATAGGCTCTTCGCGCACGAAACGATATAGATTATCTTAAGCAGGAATAAAAAATACGTTAAGTACATTTCTACGATACGAAAAGGGAAAATTAGTATTGCAATTGACGACTAAAAACTAATTCGTTGCCTAAATAGAAATCTAAATAGGAAATCATAGACGAATCGAAGCCGTATCAGTACAATAAAGTACCGCTTGACGAGGCGGTAAAAATTCAATAAAAATAATTCGACTTTTATATATCCGTTCACGTATCCTTAGGACCTTAGTATTTTTTTTTAAAGATATTTCCTTTATAATCTATACATAGTGCCATCTTTGATTGCCCAGAGAGACTACAATATCCATCGTATAAATCTCGTTAAAAAAGAAGACCATCGACGGCTATATTATTGTTAATCTTAGCCATTAAAAAATAACTAGTAAAAGTTTGAAAAACCCTGTGAATGCTAATGCAACTGACTACTTTCATTGCATTTTCCTTTCTTCTCCTTTTTCCGTTTTTGGTTGCGTTTCAGAATGCAAATCGATGGTGTTACGTGAACCGGTATTAAAAAACACAGAGCCGTTAATTGCATTCCTCGGTTTTAACCGCTGTACAATACTCTATATAGAAGTATATACTCATACAAAATAAAACATATCCAAAAAACGATATACTCATACAAAGTATACAATATATGGATGCACACCGCCTCCTCGATTAATCCTAGGGCAGGATTCTTACTATACAAACTATTACAGTTTCTTATTGAGCATATTTTAGAAATTGTTTGAGTCGTTGTAGGAAGTGTTCAATTATTGACTTCATTTCAACTATACGCTAGAACCTAGAATCCCTCGAAACTCCCCTCGTTTAGGTTCCTTTGATTGTGCGGATTAGAAAGTTGAGAAGACATTGCAAAGAAATCGAAAACGTATAACAGTTGTAAAGTATCCGTATCTTACTCTTGTTTCTGGAATGCTGGATCAACGAAAGATGATCGTCCTGGCGTTCCTCCCTTTGAAGTACGTAGACGCAGGAAAAGTGTTGTACTAGATACCCGCGTATAGTGTAAACAGTCACGATGCCCCAGTTATCATTTCTACCATGAATACTCTTACAGATTTTGTTTGGAATTCCTAGGAACTTCAAGTTTTCCCCTCTCTTCCCAAACAATGTTGCTACGTTCAAGCTTCCTACGATAAATCAATAAAAAAACGTAAATCATCGAAAGAATAATCTTGAATATACTGTAACTTTGTATCAGACTTCAATCCCTTACATCAGGAAACAAAAAGTGTTCACGAGTAGGTTGTGGTTGTTCAAAGGGAGAACTGCTCATATATCCAGGCGAAGGGGACTCGCTTTTCTCAAGCACCGGTGTAATGTTCGCGTAATTGGCTGATGGTGTCGTCAACGTTCTTCCTTGTTCAACAAGAATACTTCTGTCGATCTTGTAATACTCTTTTCCGCTGCGAGGGCGTAGCGTTGTTGCTACTGCCCTACCGCCCAGTCTGAAATGAAAGATAGTTGTTAGTCTCGAAACTTTTACACCACGGTATTTAACTCCTTCGCTACTTCAAACAACTGTACTTGCAGTGGCAGAAAATTGTGCAGAATATAACGTGGTTTTATTAAATATCTTACCTGAGACTGTCCGGCGTGTCGGATGACGAGTGAGACGACAACGACAACGTCTCAATATAATCGGACATGTCGGACGTGCCGCTGCTGGTGCTTCGCGAGTCGATGTAAGGAGCACTGGACACTTCCCCAGGACTATTATACCCTTTCACACCCTTAGGCAAACACGTGGGTATATCAGCTTCCGCCGACGAGGATTTCGTAGGTATTTTGATCTTCTGAAATTGAAAGGATAGTTCTCGAAGAGGATCGCTGGATTTGGACTTCCTCGGTAAGCTGCTGTGATAACACGTTGGCGGTGGACTTTTCCGATAAACGGACAATACGTTCTGTTTCCTCGCGGACGTCGAAGGTGCCAATGACAACTCAAACTCCACGAACTCTGCCGTTCTGTGACTGAGAGATCCCGTGGAAACGCCGGAATCGTTGCTGCTAGAAGAGTCTCTGTTATGTCCGGTCTTGGATGGAACGGAAGAAGAACGTCGAATTTTGATGAACGACGGCTGGGACGTGGCTATCGACATCTGCCCGTTATCCTGATTAATTTTGATCTCCGAATTAACGCAAGAGGTATGCGTCTCTCCCCTGACCAAAGAAGCTTTATCCGCTTCGCTAGAACACTTGTGGATGGTGAGGGTCGACGGGAACGTGTGATTCTCGTCGTCCAGGTAGTGCGCTGACTCTGCAGAGTAGGATCGTTTCCTCAACAGCATACCGATGTTTCCGCTGGACTCTGCTACATTGTTTCCGTCCAGATAACGACGTCTGAGGTATGGACTGGACAACATTGCTGAACCAGGTACACGAAATTCGGAATCGGAACGCTTCTTGCTAGCCTCGGTAACTGCCGAGCCCGATAACGCAGGATTGCTCGAGCTTTTAATACCGCTGCAGATTCTAGACAAGATCTCTTTGGAACAAGCGTTGTGGGCTGGCTGCATGGGTAAATAACCGGGGAACGGTTTCTTTGGCGTTTGCTTTTCGGGATCCATGACTAAATAATCGTTCTCTCTGTCCTTAACATGACCACACTTCTGGCATATCTTGGAGGATTCCTCGACGGGCGCCTCGGGCGTTTCGTCCTTGATCTGATCAGAAAATTTCTCAAGCTCTTCCTGCGATATACCGCTCTTGGCCAGGAGATCCTTGCTGTTCTCGTAATGTTCGAGAGACTGCGTGAAATCGATGTTTGCGTAGTTCGCTTGTTTGGATTCAGGTTGGGTGTCGATAACCGGCTCGACGTTCTCGTAATTGTTAGATTTATTCTCCGGCAGACAATCGCAGTTGTCCTTGCTCTTCTCTTCCGTGGTGCTCGATTTGTTAGGTCGTTTGGCCGTCGCGTAGATAGCGATCTCTCCGCTCGCGTTGACCACAGGCATCTTTCCTTCCCCGGACAGTTTGACGGGGTGCACGGCTACCCCCGTTGGCTCGATACCGGCTCCTCGTCTGCAATACGGTAGCACGAAGCCTGCCCAGCTCATCATGTTCTGACAGGGACATCCAGAGGATCTGGGGGACTGAACGGTAAGCTTGGCCGGGCAACCGCACTGTTGCAACACCACCGCTTGAGGCGCTTGAGGGGTATCGTAATTAGGATACGTTTTTGGCAGTGCTAGGCATTCTTTGATTTTCCTTGGCGTATCGTAATACTGATCCGGTTGAGGATTCTGCTCCAACAGCACGTGGTGGCCCAAAATCGACTTGGGAACGTCGTAATTCTCGTACGGACCAACGACGCTGTTCGCGTTACGCGGGACGAGCTGCTGCTTGCTGCGCGAGTGCACGCAGATCTGCTCGTTCGGCAGTGGCATGGGGGGTTTCTTAACCTTCTTGGTGGCAGTGCTTTGGGACGGTTTGGGTGGTCTGGGTGGCAGCGAACTGGGACTGGGCGAGGCGCGTTGCACGTTCGCTTGCGAGCCTTTCTGCGAACAGTGACACTCGGCCTGCTGAGAGCTGGAATAGTCGCTGTCGTGGCTGCTGCTGCTGTACGAGGACAAGGACAACCGATCCAGCGTACGCGGTTGCAAATGGCAGCCCAAATTGTTGATCGTACCGGCCGGGCTGCTCACGCTGCTCGCGCCCATCGCCGTGACTAGAGTAGAGGACTTTGAGACGGTGCCCAGTTTGCTGATGCAGCTAGCGCATCGCTCGAGAGCGGATGTTCCTTGACGAGTGAGAGAACAGCTGCGCCATTCCCCTGGTTGGTCAGGCAGTTCCGAAACGGAGACGGTGTCACGGCTACTGTAATCCCTGTCGAGCTCAGTTTGCTGGCTGCTCTCCGCGGACGACCAATAGGGCGAGCTTTCGTTCTTGCAGCTGTCACACTGCTCCTCGTACGTGGACGAGTAAACAGTCGAGGGGAAGAAATCGCTGGCCCTCGTTTCGGAACGGGAGAACTGACGGCGAGGGCTGTCCTGTATCATTTGCTCCTTGCTTAGCGGCCGCTTTTTCGTTAGCTTTCCTTCGGCCGCTAACTGCAGCATCTTCACGATATCTTCGCCTTGATCCGTTATCAACACGTGCAGACCTTCCCCCCGACCGCATCTCGAGCCACCCTCGAAACAGAATCTTCCTTCTACCACCCCGTAGCGTCGAAGATGAGCTATCTCCCAAATTCCGACTAATCTGGGAGGCACTCCGACCGTGATGCAGAAGCGACGGTCCTGTATGTGTAAATGTGCCGGTCCGTTTGTGAGCTTCGCTTTCGACGGCACCGTGGAGATCAGTATCAGGAACTGTTGATCTGCGCGAACGTATAACTTGGTCAAGGATGCGTTTCGCTACTTTACACCCTTGTGTAGCTATGTACATAACTGGGGAGCTACTTTATATCTAACTTTGCCTACACTTACCAATTTGATAATATAACGCTTATGCAAAATAATAATTTAAAAAATGTATTCCAAAAACAATCAAATTAAATATGTCCGATCAGAGTGAATAGATATTAAAAATTGGAAATTGCCCAGTTATCACAAGAGTGAGTTTGTTTTAATCGTTGAAAGTACCTTCGCCCAAGTTGTTCGAAATCTTCACTTGCCATTGTATCAACCGTTCTCTGGTGTCGAATGCCAGAACGACCGTCACATCCTGGCATATTATGGCAATGGTATTGGATTCCTTATCGAGAGTGAAACCACTCTCTACGCCGAGAAAATGTTGCAAGCTTAACGAAGCTTTCGTTTGACCTTGCTTATATCGATCCTTGCTATCTCCGTACAGTTGCAAATGAAGGCAATCTGTAAATGAATCGCATGCTTTGTAAACTAACACCGATCTCAATGGAGTAACACAAGCTGTTAAACGGCCATTGTGCCTTTCTGACGATCAGGCGATAAAAACGTATCAAATTTACATAAACAACTGGAAGAAAATTAATTTTACAACACGAAACGCGTGATACTTGTATAACCAAGTGGCTGGTGCCGTGTTCTATTAATACGGTTATACTCGGACGTAGAAACGCGCTAAAATCCATTTAGTCCCTTCTATGTACTTTTAACTAATTCTCCCTAAGGAAAATTTATGAGCTACAGGGGTCCCCAAGTTTTAAAATATCCTCGAGTTACAAGGGCCACGTATTAATGGTTATTGCTAGGAGCAAAGCTCTTCTTGGAAATTTTTTCTTTTTGTTTTTTGTTTCTTCAGCCAGTCAATCTGTAACAGATGCGCCAGCTGCCACCCTAAACAGGACCAGAGGGAGGAATTCTTTATGCTGATAACAAGGAAATTCTTTCGGGAGATAGGATTAGAAACTATGGCGGGATATACAATTTTTAGGAGTAATTTGCAACATCTGTTTCATTCATGATGGACAGGTATACAATGTATATTAAACATCTTCTTACTAACAATATGAGACAAAAGAATTTATTACAAGATTCAAATTAAAAAAAAAAACTTGAAGTTTACTTAAAGTTTCGTAATTGTTGGCTGTTAAGAAGAGGGGTCATTCCCCTCCGATTCACCCCTGTCTCATAAATTAATGAATTCATGGATATTACGTAAACAGAACAATAATTCCATATCTATAAAGTGACATCGGTAACAGAGATATGTAAAATGAACAATATTTCCTGTCCCTTATCTATTGTCCATGTCACATGTAATATTTGTTAGTCATGCAGTGTACAAAGTGATTCATAGCATGCATAATGTTATTGTTAATCATAAAACAGATGCAGAGCAGCTGCATTAAATGAGATTTATTAAAACAAATGCGTGTAAAAAAGAAGCAGATTTACCTGCAACTGGTGACAATTTCCTCATTACACACCATCGTGATTTCCACTGTAAAATAAATTGCATATTTCATTCACCGACTATAACAATAATAATATGAATCAAAATTTAACCGATTATCGTGTACAGAGAAACAAATGGTAATGATACATCCATCGTTACAAAATATTATTATGTACATTCTCTCGTACATCAATTCGTGATCAAATATGCTCGCAACTTGTTTAATTTACAAATTTTGAAATCTGTAATATCTCCAATTTTGAAATAGGTTTTAAAATTGACCAAGCAAAATCCGAGGGGAAGCCTATGATAATAAATATACCAATGCCCCTTTGATCTACTGTACTGTATATTATGCTAAATATGTTGACATACACTTATGCAGTAAAAAAGATATACATATGTATTACACATTTGTTCGAATCCATTTAGACCCTCTGCTCCCCTGTAATAAAAAGAAAAGGCCTCCCTACCCTTTTCGATCTGAACGACTTCTTTCGGTAGCTCAATGTAAATAAAAGAAAATGAGCTAGTTTTTTTTTATGGCTTTGTGACTCTTCATTTCATTCACATTAAATACTTCCTTGGCCTTTCAACAGACCACTTATTAGTTGTAACGGGCATTGACTCATGTCAAGACACCTCAATTTGACTTCTAGACAAATGGAAACTTTGCCATTGTGTTCGGGTATGAATGGATTCAACAAAGTAAATATTTGTATCACTGTATGTATACATTGATACGGTTCAATTCCTATTGACCATTTCTAATTAGGTATTCGTAAATGTTTAAAATTCACGCGAATATTAAGCGCATTAATTAAACGTTTGAATTTTTTACAAGTTTAAATTAGCAGTTCTAAAATGTTTAAAACTGAAGTACCGCGGTCATTAAAATTAAACTCGGGTAGAGTAGATTTATGTTTTATTCCTTTTTTCATGGAACATAGTTTTTAATGCGCGGTTAAATTTGTTAATAAAATTTTTAATCGCATAAAAATGGGATAAGGAGATATACTCGTGTATATACACCCTCGCAGAACACACGAGTATTAGACGAGTGCGTTAGCGCAAGATCCGTACATTATATAATTTTTCTTCTTTTTTTATCGCAACTGCATCGTGTCTAAGTGACTCCGGGATAATTACTTCGCGTACACGAGTTGAGATTGATTTATAGTGCAATCTAACGATTTATTCGGAAAAGAGAAAAAAGATGAACGAGCCCCGTGTCGTTGTGTAATATTTTAGCGTTATAGAAATTAACGCGAAAAATTAGACCGCGTTACTTTTGACGGACAACGAGTCCAGCAATTATCTCGCCCGAATTAATTGGTCGGTCCGACTGTAAATGGAGAAACGATAACCAGTTTAACAGAAAATTGAACGGGGGATTAACTTACTTTTTTGCCGTCGCGAAATTTGACGTTTCCCTCGATAATACAATTGTTATCCACCATTGTAGAAGGCCGCTGCTACTGCACTGGTTTTAGGTGTTTTTCTCATCACTATATAAAAGCACTCCGTTTACTTAACGCTGCATACCGAGACACCGTAGAACACCTTGGAACACCGTGAACGCCGATACTTTCCGATGCACAATCTTTCACTCACTGAACAAAAACGGCGGCCTACCGCTTACGAATCACGCGGTAAAATCCATACTCCGCACCGTCGACACCAAGCATCCATCTTGACAATCTTGGCTTGCTGCGTGCACTGCTGCGGTCCTGCTCCCTTTCGAAAGCGTATTCTGCACATTATCCATTCCCCTGCACTTCGGCCCACTGGCGTAGTACCTACCACTTTTTTACTTTCACAAACTTCCTTTCGAAGCGCCAATGGAATCGATGGTGCAGTTTACAACGCCGCTCGCCAACCACTTTCCCGCCTTTTGTTCAAATCTCCATCATTTATCGCATCAAATTACAATATTTATATTGCACACCGTAACATTTTTTTAACCTTTCGACACTTATAATACGCGAGAATTTTATGAAATGGATTTTGAAAAATTATAATGAAACTTTATTGCACGTATCTCTTATATTATTACAAGTTAAGCTCGATATCTCAACAATCGAGCAAGCCAACATATTAAAGTAAATAAATATATAATATAATAACTTATGTGCAATTGTAAAAAAAAACGTATAAAGCTGTCAATTTTCAATTTCGCGCGAAATGCATCGCACAGTAGTGGCGCTCAGCACAAAAGGCTCGTGAAATTTTGATTCCCATGTGTTTGAAGGAAAACATAACCTATACTAATGTATAAATTTCATATAACTAAACCATGAGTACACTGGTACTAACGAAGTTTCAACAAAAACATACTTTGTCGGCGAAAAAAACGCCAAATAAAGGATTGCGAAACGTTTTAGCTCAGCCACAAGATAATTACTGGTAAAGTATACATTGTACCTACATTGTTTAATCATTTACAGTGTTCAATACAGCATACCTCAATAGCAATATTTTCCAGGCCGATTGTAAATGCAAATAAACGTTCAGGCTTGGAGGAACTTTTAAACAAGTAAGTTTTAGAATGCTTTGCAAAGCAATAAATGTTACCATTTTATTATTTATTCTTATAGGACAATGCCATTAATTAAGCGTCCTGACCATTCAATTCCATGGTCGAAACTAAGGCACATGAAAAAGGAGGAACGTGCTCAAGTTAAAAGGGAAGCAATTTCAAAGGAAGGAAGTGTACCGGACCCAAAGATAAGGTAGATATTAATTATTTTGTTATTGGGTATCATGATAATTCACATATAATTACATCATTTTTAGCAATTCTGTTATTTTGGGTATCAATGCAATTACAAGAGCTTTAGAGAAGGAAAATATATGTTGCGTTTTAATGGATGCAGATATAGACCCACCACTTTTAGTTAAGCACATTATTCAAATGGCACAAAATAGTAAAATACCGCTTTTACTATTGCCTCAACTGAAAACTATTACATTGAGTACTATAGGATTTGCATGTGCAGCTTGTGCACTTAAGGTACAACTATTTAAAGATCTATGTAACATTGTATGAATTTACTGTAACTTTTTTCACTTTAATTTCAGAACGATGTAAAAGAATCTCCAGATCATCATTTTTATCCATTATACCAGACAATACATAATATTTTTAAGGATATGCCTTCACCAAAGAATACGTTTAAATTAATTGAACGAATTAATTATTCGGAAAAATCGGAGTCGTACGAAACGGACGACTCTAGTAATGAAATGGAGTCACAGATGGAATCATCAAAAACTGCTAAATATACATTGTCTACCGATGTATATATGTATAGATCATCGCGTAAAGAAAGAGCGTTTGTTCCACCAATCGCAACAGAAAATTCGAAAGCAGCAGATACGAGCGACTTTATTTCGTTAGGTAATGATGATGTTGAGAACGATACATATGTTGAAAAGAATTCAAGATATATGAATATCCATAAACGCAAGAATTCTGAAAACCAAGAACAGCAAAACTCCGAAGATGTTACTTATTTCCCGCTAAAAGTAAAACGTATACAGGGTAATCCCAATCGCGTGAAGGCTACTAAAGCAGCGAAACAAAAGAAAAAAAGTTAGTAATTTTCGATTAATAATGCATCAATTTTACATATATGTATTTAAAAAGAATTAAGGTATAAATAATTACTAGACCATTTATATAGTTAATGAATATGAGACCATGTATTTATTATACAGTTACAATGAATGCCCAATATGTAATACAATGTACAGAAATAACGAAAATGTACTTTGTACAAATATGAATACATTATATACAAAAGTTGTATCTATGATATAACTTAATGATAGTTTTTTTAATTTAGAGTTACTTGAATTGTTATATTTGATAAAAATTTGTTTCTAATTCATTCACTTTTACATGCAAATAAAACTGTTATATACATCACATAGATTTGATTATGTAATAGAAAAGTCAGTCTTTTGTACATTTCATTAATAAATTCACACGAGAACATGATTACCAACATGATATTTACTATTATATAAATCTGAATGTTTGATAAATGGAAATTTTATAAAATATAAAAATTAAATATACAATATTGATTTCGTATATATATATTTGGTGGCTATAACATCATACAGGCAATGTAGAGTTAACCGAAGATTTGAACATTCTTGTAAAAAACATTAGACCTTTAGTTCCACCAGGTATATGACTTACCAAGAACGATAACATAGCTATTAATTGTAAAACAGCACAGAGCACAGTTAATGGCGTAGACTGTAAATGTAAGGCAAAATAAAGTGTTCCTATCAGTGTTACAAGGTAGGTCATACTAAAACATCTTCTCTCAGCAGTGAATAATGACCTTAGGTAACTTAATGGACCCAAAAGGAAGCAAAAACTGCAAAAACGTCGTAAATGTTTTATTTATAAACATTATTTCCACTCAAAGTAACTTACCTGGCCAAGAAGAAAACACTTCCCAATGTATACAGGAGCGCAAACTTTCTTGCTTTAAGTAATAAAACTGGAATATAAATTGCAGACAGACAGAAACAAAGTATACCCAAAGAAAAGCATACAACAAATGCTATTAGCCTCTGAATTCTTGTCTGTCAGGGAAAGATAAAAATCATTGAAATATCGTTCTTCGGAAGCATTTGTTTTCTTCAAAACATTTAGCAGAGAGGTTATGTTACAAATTATACCTTACCATAGTAGGACAACATTCCTTTTGTGCTCCTTGTATCCATCCCGAATCTTCTCTATCTTCTTCTCCGCTTCTTCCGAACCATTTTCCAATACTTGTTTTTGGTATTGTCACCGAAGGTACAGTAATCTTAAATTGTTTCTCATTTTTACTGCTAAGAAGATATTCATTCAATTCTTTGTTAAGATCGGCCATTTTGACACGTCCACATATTTTATGTTTACGAGAGTTGTAGCAAATACAATCGCATGTATAAAATTATTCTTCTTTAATTCTAAATCCGACTACGTAAAATGTACTGATACAGAAATGACATGAACGTCGGTACTGAATGTACACAATAACTGTTCGATAAGTAATCATCAGATAAGTAGCTGTCAGAAAGGTTTCTCAGTCATGCGCATTACTTACTCATGCAATTCGATTTCGAATCATTACACGATTTGGAATAATGGTATTTTATGAAATATTTATGTCAGTTATTTGTTCAGACTAATACTTTATCGTTCCATTATAAAGTTCCATTGAAGCTGAGTAACGAGGAGAACAAAATAGGACAAAATGATTACCAAGTGTTCGTGGATTTTCAAACTTACATTTATTTAAACAAATCAACATTGACCTCATATTTATGGGTTGTATACTGCATTTGTTGCACAGGTAATGCATCACTCTATTACGGCAAGAACTACGTGTCCTGCAACGCGTGGCATCCTTTCTTTCGGATTTATTTGACAAAAAATCAAATACATCGGGGACGGGGGAGACTGAGTATCGACAGTACTCTAATTGGGACTAGAGAAATTGTACTAGAAAAAAATCGGCGGTCGATCTTCTTTTTCGCGCAATAATAATAAATAGCAATGGTAATAAATAATATTCAATAATAATGCTAATAATACTTCCAAATGTTAATACTTCTCGTTAGGACTCATAATAAACATTGACATTGGTAATAATAATAGATCAGCAATAATAAGAAGCACAACGTAACAATAATGAGGGACGTAAGTATAACAAATTCATCACATTCGAATACAGTACACACTACGAACCGTTATTTTCAACAGGTTCATGTTTCATTTCGCATATAGTTTTTTTTTGTTCTTTTATTTTCATTTAATGATTTTAATCGCTATTATACGTACTGATCACGGGCACTCGATCTCTCGATTATACGATACATGGAATGAGACTGCTAATTATTCAACACGAAGGCTCCTAAAAATCATTCTCGTACCGCGAAACGAATTGTTTTGTCGGGATTAAAGTACTTATTAATTACATCGTCGGGTATGTGTAACCTGTATGTATCGTACAACATATGTATGTATATTTATATATGTAAACGTGTACGTGTCTTTTGATTCACGTTCATCCACCACCCACTAAGCAGGTATGCGTGAACGCGTCTTGTGTACAGAGCGTAACCAACTGCATGTGTATGTGTATGTGTGTGTGTGTGTGTGTGTACGTGTTTTACCCGGGAGTTTCTCATTAACTATAATACTTTGGCTTCCTCGTAATTTGTTTTCCCTTTTTGTCGCTTTTCATCCTCCGTTCCTTTTTGTTTAACGCTAATGGCAGCACAAATACAATGTTTTTTGTTTTACACCGTACAGCATCTTAACGTGCCCGGGTCTCTCTTCTTCTCCTTCTTCGTTCTTGCGGAAATAATGTTTTTCTTTTTCATTTGTTATCCAAATCACTTGAATTACGCAACACGGCAATCGTTAAGACCGTCGTTCGCCGGATGTTGATCGCTCCATTATATACGTTACGCTATTTTATTAATATCGTACAGTACGCAATGAATACGCCAGAATTAATTATTGTATGCACTACGAAGGAAAGAACCTATTATATGTACTATGTATACTTCGAGAAGAAACGAATCGCTATGCAGCGCTTTATTTATTAGTACGTTTTAATATAAGAGTGGCGTGGCTTCTTCTATTTCTTCTTAATTCTTTCTTTACCTCGCAATTGAACACTTGAACGCCATTCGATTAAAACAATGCAAAAATCACATTTGTCTCGACATTTTATGCATTGCGATTCGTAAACGCGCTATAACGTCTGATCTCGAGAAAGCTTGATCGAACAGGATCCCTAGATACCAGTACTATATAGCGAGTGCAACTAGAGCAGACACGGGCAAGTAGTAAATTCAGTTGGAGCGTTATCCAACGCCTTTGAGTAAATTTGAAGCGTTTCGAGTTTGGAGCCCTCCGGTCTCGAAGCGTTCCAACTTTGAAACACTTCGATTTTCCAAACGAACTCGGCATCAGAGACACCCTTCGTGCGATTCGATGCCCATGTCTGAACCAGAGCGATAAATGCAATGACAGCCTTGTTCTCGTAAGGGTGATTCATCTACTATCTATAGTAATCGACTAACAATCAGCCTGCTTACTTATTAAATGTCCTCGAGAATAAGAAAGCGATTAACGAACAGAGAAAATGATCAAAGTGTTCGTGGGGAGAGCTCGATACCATGCGTGTACACGTACGTGACTAGAACAATTGCGATTGTACGCGTGTATGTGCATGCGCGCGCGCGTGACTGTGGGGGTGTGTGTCCGTGTAGAATCATTGAAATATGGAGCCTTCGAAGCATCTCTATCAGCTAACGATTTACGCTAGAATAATCCTAAAGTGGAACGAAGAGAAAAACGGTGCACGATTTCTCGAGATCAAACGCGGAAAGAAAGACAGATTGCTAGCCACGAATAATCGCCAACTAATTAAATAGATCATCGATCGAATGGCAACTAATGGCGTTTAATATCTGCAGGCTGCTCTCCCCCTCCCCTAACCCTCTTTCAACACTCTTCTTAATGGTACTTACAAATACCTAAGTGAGAATTTCTCGTACGCTATGCAACACGGGTGAAATCAGGCGCGCAGTTAAATACATGATTTTTCTTTTTTTTCTTCTCTGCTCTTGTACGTTGTTCTGTATCTCGTTGGTGTATTCGTTCTTCTCTTAAACGCACGCTTATAGAAAAAATTCGCTAGCACGAGATCTCACCGGGAAAAGCAAGGAATTTTTCTATATTTCTTTTCTTTGGTTTTCTTTTCGCTCTCATCATTTTTTTTCTATTTTGTTGATCTTTTTTCGCACCTCGCAAGCTCGTCGTCGATATTTCACCCCTTTTTATTAACTCTATCATCCTCTCGCTCTCTTTCTCACTTGCATTCGTTCCCTTTCTCTCTCTCGTTTCACGCATTTTCTTTAGAAAATAATTTTTCTATCTCTGTGAGTTTTCTCTCTTTTAATTTTTCTTTTTTTTTATCATTTTCTTTTTGTAGCGACAGCATATCGAGCCGCACGAACAAAAAGAGTCGTTCGATCTCGAGGCGAACGAAAGTTTAAAAAGCTTCCGTCCTCGATTTCAAAGCTTCGATTTTTATTCGTACGGCCAATTAGAACGCGTGTCAGTCACGGGAATTTTATTTCATTCCTGTTTTCGTTAGTGTTTCGATAACCCGCGACATTGAAACGGCCTCCTCGGCATCGGAAATGTGTTTGCAAGGGGTTCTTTATAACACGAGACGACATCGAGAAACCGCGAGGGAAACGAACGGCTGAACGAAGAACAAAGAAAGAACAATCGGATCCAAACTGTAACTGGGAGGAAGTCCCGAATCTCTAGAAAAATTCATCTTCGTCGCTTCTTTCTGTTTCCTCTCATCTTTCGTCGTAATTCGTCTGGAATGATTAGTCTGCCACCGTGATGCACAATTACAGCTATCACACGTTATTAAAAATATGTACAAAATCTGACTGTGTAAGATGCTCGAATGTATCGCGGGTTCAAAGCGGTTTCAATGCATGAACACGCGCTTTGCGTAGGAAAAATGCTTGTACTTGTACTTTTACTTAGACTTTTCTTAGTTAACCCTTTCAAAACTTAAACGATTTTTCAATAATATGCAATGTCGGATAAACTTGTGTAGCCTTTTGAGCATCAGTAGTCTGAAGTAGTCTTCTTAAAAGAAAGCGTAAGAGAAGGAATTTTCCATTGCTAGCCTTATTTGCGCTTGATCTTCGTGCGCGAGAACAGGAGGTTCTGAGTTAGGCTCTCCTCCCTAGGATAACTCCTTCCTACGCTTACTGTTAACGCATCGAGTACTATTCGCAAGATAATCAATTCGTTTCTCAATTTAGCACATTATCATTGACGAGAGTTGCATTCGATATTTATAACATAATATGAACGTTAAAGAAAGTTTTTTTTAGTTAACCAAGAAAAGCCAACGTTGCACCCGAGTGTATGTTCGAAGCACTGATTTGTCGATGGATGATCGGAATTCAAATCGAAATACAAAATACACTTTCAATCGAGGCTTCCTCCGTCTCCAGAGAAACACATCCGAATCTCCTTGCAATCGAATATCAAAAATCTAAAACGATCGCGGCTGAAGAAGCCGGCAAGAGACCGGCGAACGCGTGTATGGAGAACATGTACAAGACGACAAAAACGAGAAAAGTCGAAGACATCGAAGTCTCGGACCGTTTCTTTTTTATCGGCCTTGCAGATACGTATATGCGTGTATGTATACAGTACTCGAAAATCTTTGAGGGATCGCGCATATTTGCAAAAACGTATAGAATCGCACGCGAAATGGCAACTAAAATGGCGAACAGTCGGGGCAAAGTAAGATGCAGCCGTCGATAAGATAGATTTGACAGATGATCGCGTTGTTTCGCTTAATATTTAGTACCCCATCCTTAAGTGGCTATTCAATGAACTGTTAAATGTATAATCCTAATTAATATTGCACGCGCCGGCACACGAGGGCTACTAAATGTCGTTTACCTCAGCCGCCATATTAGCCACCCCCTTTTTGTTTATTCACGTTAGAACTTAATTATGCGTATGCACGAGACTCGCTGACGACCCATGGGTCCTGAGGGACCCATTTCCGTTCGAGCGGATCGTTTCGCGGTTTTATTTTGCAAAAGAAAGGAATATGTAACAAAGGTGTCCTCGTCGAGCACCGACGACTCACCGAACGAACTTTGGTTTATTCCAACGCCCCTTCTTTTTCAGAGGAACGATCGATCGATACATGAACGTCACGGTGTACTCGAACCGGCTCGTTCGTTTGGTTTCATCTTCCTTTCCGTATCGATACGACAACTTTGATTTCAGCAACACGCGAACCGCACGACTTCTGTTCGTTTTTTATTTGGTACTCGTATCAGCTATGCTTAAACACCTAAGCTCGTATTATTAAGTCGGATGTGATTTTCTCGATAATCGAAGATTACGCTCGACTCTCTTTTAATTACGTTATTGGCTATCGTTATCGCTTAAACATCCTACGTGAACTGTCATCTGGTCGTCACAGGCTGGACAACCGCGTCGAGCTGTACTTTTCGGTGCTCAGTGTTGCCGATGAAAAGTTCAGTTTCGAGCTGAGAATTGTTCGTTTCGTTAAGCCGAAGGGTTATCGTTATCGTTCGAGTCCCTTCAGCGACGCCACGCAAAAATCGTTTTTAAATCAGTCCTTGACCCCCTAGTCTCTCGACCGCTCTTTCGCGGAGAGAATCGTTGACTCCTCGACTATAGTCGGCTTCGCTGAGCGCGTCTTCGACAACTCGATTTTGTAATCTTCGTTTCGTAGGCCAACGAAGCGGATGATCGTCGCGACGTTCGTCCATCGTCTTGAACCCCTCGCAGCTCGCCGTTTACGCACCCGCCTCTGTCACCTTGGTTCGCTCTTATGAATCACGGTTCCTCTACGATTCGCAGCGGTCACCGTCGCGTCGCTCGTCGATGGCGCAATTTAAAAAGGTGAATGAGGCTCAGAGACGAAAAATAATGATCGCGGTTGCACGAAATCTCTTTAATGTACACACCTGATCGGTTCTACGTCCGTACAAAACAGCTAAGCGAGCTAACTATACGGGAACCCTCTCGGCCGAGGGAGCAGCGAAAATGAATTCTAAAATACCTTGGCTCGATTTCGAGTACCGTCAAACTCGTGTTCCGATCCCCCACTTAAACCGTAGTCACGTATTCACGCAACTCGGTCGTCTCAGCTGCCAGCCTGTCGTTAGCGAACCACGGGTCTTCGTACTTGGGTACCTCCTCGCTGCGAGCTCTATTGGGAGCACGTGGCCGTTCACGGCTTCGCATACGGGGCACTTCCTCGCTTAACGATCTCTTCGTAATCCCTATCGGCACAGGGACCTCTAACAAAGCCTTCGATCTCATCAACTGCGGTCTTTGGCGGCTCTTTGGCTCCTCGCTCGCCGCACGAACGATCACCGCGGGCGGCATCAGTCTATCGCTCTCGACCTGATGACTCTCCGACCTGGCTCTCAGAGCCTTCTTCTTCGACAAGCCACGGCCCTTGACGATGCTCTTCCGTTGAACCGGCGGAGGCGGAGAATACTGTTGCTGGGATCTCTGTCTCTTGACAGGAGTAGCCGGAACCAGAGGCGACCAAATCGGCGGAGACAGATCCACGGGTGATTGTAACTTTCTAGGTGGTGTCCTTTCCGGTGACTCGTCTTTCCAGCCGCCCTGATAGATCGGGAACGCCGATACCTGGTTGAGGATCCTCCATCGGAAATCTTCGTCGTCGCTTCTGCAAGGCGTCGCCTCTGGAGGTGGATGATGGGTGGGCGTCACGTTGTGGAACGGTGACCAAGATTTCGATTCTTCGGGCTCTTGAACCGCGAAACTATCGCCTCTGCCGCCGTCCGCCGGCGGTGATCCCTCGTAAGGGGTCCACTTGATCTCGCTGATGTGCTTCGGTTCGCGTGTCACCTTGGTTCGCTCTTATGAATCACGGTTCCTCTACGATTCGCAGCGGTCACCGTCGCGTCGCTCGTCGATGGCGCAATTTAAAAAGGTGAATGAGGCTCAGAGACGAAAAATAATGATCGCGGTTGCACGAAATCTCTTTAATGTACACACCTGATCGGTTCTACGTCCGTACAAAACAGCTAAGCGAGCTAACTATACGGGAACCCTCTCGGCCGAGGGAGCAGCGAAAATGAATTCTAAAATACCTTGGCTCGATTTCGAGTACCGTCAAACTCGTGTTCCGATCCCCCACTTAAACCGTAGTCACGTATTCACGCAACTCGGTCGTCTCAGCTGCCAGCCTGTCGTTAGCGAACCACGGGTCTTCGTACTTGGGTACCTCCTCGCTGCGAGCTCTATTGGGAGCACGTGGCCGTTCACGGCTTCGCATACGGGGCACTTCCTCGCTTAACGATCTCTTCGTAATCCCTATCGGCACAGGGACCTCTAACAAAGCCTTCGATCTCATCAACTGCGGTCTTTGGCGGCTCTTTGGCTCCTCGCTCGCCGCACGAACGATCACCGCGGGCGGCATCAGTCTATCGCTCTCGACCTGATGACTCTCCGACCTGGCTCTCAGAGCCTTCTTCTTCGACAAGCCACGGCCCTTGACGATGCTCTTCCGTTGAACCGGCGGAGGCGGAGAATACTGTTGCTGGGATCTCTGTCTCTTGACAGGAGTAGCCGGAACCAGAGGCGACCAAATCGGCGGAGACAGATCCACGGGTGATTGTAACTTTCTAGGTGGTGTCCTTTCCGGTGACTCGTCTTTCCAGCCGCCCTGATAGATCGGGAACGCCGATACCTGGTTGAGGATCCTCCATCGGAAATCTTCGTCGTCGCTTCTGCAAGGCGTCGCCTCTGGAGGTGGATGATGGGTGGGCGTCACGTTGTGGAACGGTGACCAAGATTTCGATTCTTCGGGCTCTTGAACCGCGAAACTATCGCCTCTGCCGCCGTCCGCCGGCGGTGATCCCTCGTAAGGGGTCCACTTGATCTCGCTGATGTGCTTCGGTTCGCGTTTCTTGATCCCGATCGTTGGCAACGGCGAAGCGTCCTCGTAAGGAGCCCACTTGGCATCCGTGATGGTGATTTCCGGAGATATCAGTCGCCGCACGATTCTGTTCTCCAGCTTCGTTATCTGACGGGGATCAGCCACCGGCTCCGGCGACAAGCTCCTTCGGATGCTGTACTTTGGCCGTTCTTTCAAGCTTTTGCTCTTGAATCCCTCCGTGGAGTCCTGGCTCCTCCATTTCGAGTCCTTCTTCTCGACGGGCAAGGAGAAGTGCGGTTTCATCGCCCACTTCGGTCGAGGTCTTTTCCCCTCCTCCGGGCTGACCACCTTTTCCTTGGCGCCCCATTTCTTCGACGTTTGACTGTCGACTCTCGCGCGAGATCGTTCCAGCTTCGGTCTCTCCCGGACTCTCTCGGTCCTCACTAGCCTTGTGTCCTCGCTGGCGTGCTTCTTCAATTCCGGTTTCTCTGGAACGGGCGCGGCGGGCGGTTCTTCCGTTCGTTCGACGTTCAACGACACGGAGTAGTAGAGCTTCCTCTCCGGCTCCTGTACGACGGGTTTCTCCGGTGGTTCCGGCGGTTGTTGCTGCTGCTGCTGTTTCGGCGGTTCCGCCGGCGGCGAAGGCGCCAACACCTTCGATTTTGGACACGTGCATCTCGGTTTCGGATTGGGCAACACTTCCGGAACTTGAAGCCACCTGGCTTCCCTGGCCATTCTGGTGTCGTCGCTGCTGTGCTTCCTCAGGTCGTGCATCGGCGTCTTCAGGTAGTCCGGCTTGACCGACCACTTGTCCGTTTCCGCACTGTGGTGTTTCCTCAGGTCGCCTCGCTGTATGTCCTGCGGCTTCTTCTCCTCGGGCGTGAGACTGTGGCAGCTGCATTTCGTTTTCTTCACCAGGTCCAAGTCGGTGCTGGACGTGTGTAGAGCCCATCGAAACTCCGTTCCCTCGCTGGTGCGTCTCCTGAGGTCCCAGATCGCGTCGTCGGGAGACAGGAAACTGCCGTCGATCCACCTGGAGTCGGTGCTGCGATACTTGCGAAGGTCGCCGCGTTCCCTGTCCGCCGCGACGGCGTCGACGGTGTCGCAGCTGCAGGTCCTCTGCGACGTGGGCGTTCTCTGGGACTCGAGAGGCGCCGCGTCGATGGCGTCCAAATCCTCGATGGTGTAGTAGATCTCTTCGCGGCGTCTTTGACCGCAGGACGGACAGAGTCCGCTCGGCTCTCCATCGTCGCGGCTAGGTCGATGGCGATGATGATGCTGATGAGGTTGTCGATGCAACGTCGAGGTCGAGGTCGATGCGGTGGGGTCAAGCTGCGAGGGCAGCTCCTCGTCGTCGCGATGGCCGTCGTCAGAGCGTCGTGACGTCGCAGCCGTGCCTGGCGATGCGTACCAGCAGGTGTGTGTAGCTCCGTCAAGCCGCCTTGGTGGGTACCGCGACTCCGGAGACGACGAGGCTCCGCTCGAGGCCGCTACCAGGCAGACTACCTCGATCGCCAGCTCCGCACGCCTGTCATTTTGGATTGTTTTTAGTTGTCTGGATCAATTTTATACGCTTTACGTTTTCTGCAAGAGGTATTGCGGTCAAGTGTCGAGAAGCGGCGAACGTTTCTGCTTCTCGATGCTCATTGATTCTCCGATTAACCGACAACGAACACGTCCTAGCGACATCTTCCGGTACGTACCTTCAGTTCAGTGAAGATTTCCGTGAAGAATCCTGGCTCGCTGTTGATTCGCAGCATCTTGGAGCTCAATCGATTGACGATCAACAGGCATCTGTCCCAGAACTTGTCTTTGCTATCCTCGACCAGGAACGGTTTCAACGGGTAGCTGATTTCGTTGCCCATGTAGCTGTAGCTCAGGTACAGGCACGTCAACACCGTTGCTTGAAGCTCTCTCTCGGACGCCTCGTCGCCGTCCACCAACTCTCTCACCAGCATATAAACGAACACAACATTGGCAGGATTGATGAACGCGACGTCCTGTTATAACAAAAAAAAAAATATCTGCATTACTGCGGAATCAGGATGCACGCAAATGGAGATGAATTGTCGAACCGAGGATAATAGTGAGCTCTGGACAATAATATCGAGACAAAATATTTATAAAGATGAAGGTTAACTCCTTGTTCATTCCTCTATATTACGAAGAAGAATTCAGTCAGTACAAGAAACGATAAAATCCTCTCGTTTCAATCTCAACATCGAAAACTTCTAAATATCACAACACAAACGGTCTTTTACCGTAATGAAGGGACCGGATACAAACGAATTCTTGCGAATGAAAGAGCTAAACAGACAATCAATCCATTCCAACGATGAGGGAACACGTGTATTATTTTTTTTCCAACTCGGTGCATTCAGATGACGCGAAATGCATCTTGCTTACTTAGCAGACGAACAAAAAGGGATGATTCATGCGTGGTGTCGCGTTACGTGTCACGCTTGCGAAATTACAATCGGCATTGTCGTAGCCGACGGCGACCGCGGTCGATACTTCGATTCCGACAGGTCTTCCTTTCCTCGCGGCCCCTGGGGACACTATTTTGCGTCTTTCTACCGAACGCCAATTCTCTTTCGTACATCCTACATTTACCCTTCATTTATGATACGCTTTTTAAAAGATTATTCTAGTCAATACTCGTTGATAAAAGACGTTACTCAGAAAACTCAGGAGAGATATTGAACTACAGGATCATCTAGGGTGTCCTAGGAAACCTTAGATAAACCCCAGGGAGAATCCAGAAGGGATCTAAACAGAGAGGAAACCATTGGAAGCCTAAGAGAAATCGATGCTTTTTGGAAGATTTAAAAATTTAGAAATTTCCAAATCACTCGGAACTATAGGATGCAAGGCTATTCGCTTTTCGTCTGCTGTCAGTGACAGGAAGCCTACATTGGCCCTGAACGTACGTTAGAGCTATTTTAAGTTTCCATTTATTTAATATTAGCGAAAGATGTCAGGAGCCGTCTCTTTCGTGTCACTTCTGCGCTTTATCGGATATCGCGTTCGTTCTCCTTGCTCCAGAAACCGAGTCCTCCGAGTCATTAGCGAATTAGGACGCGTAGGTCGATTTAGTCCGAGAGGGCAAAGGTAAAGTGCATTGGCTCGTTGAGTGCAGGCTAGACCGCGAGTGGTTCGTCTGTCGGCTTTAACGCGTACACAAAGGTGTTGCTGATCGTACGGGTGCATCCATTGGCGGTGCATTTAATGCACTTATCCCGAGCGTACACCTAATTTGCATGCGCACTAGGGCACGCCCACAGCTCAATTACGGGGCGTCAAAGATCCACCTGTTACGATTTCGGAAGATCTTGCGTACTTCTTACAGCGAATTTCCGTTCGATTTACCGATGGCCAACGTATAAAAGCAACGCTATTTTTTTATCAACTCCAATACGAGAGTTACGAGATGTCGACGTCCCTAGATATTCCTGGACGATACGGCTGCATCGGGGACGAAGCGCGTTCAGGCGTGTGAACGCTTTGCGCCGCGTAACGCGCGCGTTAAACGCGTTAACGAGGGAGTGCACGGCAGAGGTGCAACAGCCATCGCTCGCAAAATTCCTGCCAGCAGAGAAAATCTCTCGTATCGGGAGCATCGATCCTGTCGGGTCATCGCGGGGCCTCACCGTTATTGCACCCACATGCAGTCTGTTTCCTCGCGCGCGCACCTATATGCGCTTACGGGTAAATCGTTGACGGCCGATTGTAAAAAAGAAATTTCGTTATAACCAACATTGTACGCTTTAATTATCGCGAAGTACTGGTACTAATTAGAGGATGAATCGAGGGAGATTGGTTGGGTCAGAGGTTCGCGCAGTTGGAGTTGTTCCAGTTTGATACAGAAGTTGTACAGAGTGGATCGTAACTGTTGAAACTCTGATTATTAAATCCGAAGAACATTCAAAAAATTAAAAGTACAATTTTCCGTGTTTCCCTGTTGATATTTGTAAGATATATCTAATACGTTCAACAGGATTTATTAAAATAATGAGACGAAAGGAGTTTAAATTTAGAAAACGCGCGTATAACGTCGCTTTTCTCGTCTGTTCCATAAAATTAAAATATTAATTCAATGTCTTTCGGTCTACTAATTTCCTGAATACTTCTGAGTTCACAGAAAAGACGGCAAAAACAGTTGATCAAAGGAAATGAAAGGGATGTCTGGTAAAAAAGGGGCGCACATCAAAAGCGGAACTTCCAAAAAGAGGAGAAGGGCTTTCGCGTAAAGCGAAGCGAAGCTTGTTCGAGTTTATAATTAACTCGTCTATTTCTGTTTTCCAGGACAGATAATAGCTTTCCTGTATCAATTGCGAGAGCCGTATCGACGCTGTAACAGGAAGGGGAGGGAGAGAAAACACGGTTACAAAGGAGACTGTATTTATTTTTAAAATAAAGTCCCCATTCAGGCATGTGCCGATACGTCCATGGAGTTTCCACGTGTCTTGGCCAGCTCACAGAGTACGCTTGGTCCCCGCGTAACGACGCTCGTAAAGCTTTCGAGAGCGGAAAACGACGGAACGACCAACCGTATATATTCGTTCGGTCGATATTCGCCAGAGGTGAGCGGCCTGCACCCCTACGGAGCTTTGTAACCGCGTTTTTCATCAGCTTATCGAGGATTCAGCCTTTCTAATTCAATTTTCGCGGCTCTTCATTGTCCTGTAACTTGCTCCAACTCTTACCGTGACATATTTTTCCAGAATAAAAAATTTCTTAGTTAACTTTAATTTGTCACCTTATTTTTTACTTTAAATTTAATCTTGCGTGGTAAGGTTAGTAATCAGATTTCGTTCCTAGAATAGGTTAATTGTCCAACGCGGACCGCAGAAGCGGACGCTTTTAGCTTCGATCAACGCTAGACCACATTGATCCGGACAAAACTGTCTCTTTGATGTTCAACCGCTCTCAAGATGCTGCTCCCGACGTCTAATCGGATCGACGTTGCTCCTAATACCATTCTTCGAACTACAAATTGGTCGTGCAATTCTGTAGCGCGAGTTTTAAAATTTAATTTTAGTTACCTCGTTAATTATCTCTTTTCCCGTTCTTTCGAATTACGTACAGCGTGAAGCATCAATATTCGCTATCCTGGATTTTATCCAATTTTCCTGCACATTCCACAGCATTCGTTTGATCCCTTTTGAAAGGTGCTCGCGTTGCAAATTCTCCGATAATCTAACCGGATGATCGTACACGTAATCGATACAACCGCACGCGATTATCCGTCCCGAATCTCCGATATTCGGAATCGTTTTATTTGGCTTCCCGTCAACAAAAAATAAGACTATGTCCTACACGTGCTCGTTTGGACTACATATCCGCGATTTTTGTCGCAGACGCGGAAAACAATTTCAACCGATATGGTTTCCCTTTAACGGGATTCGCGACAATGACGTTCAAAAGCTCCTTCTGTTTACCGTCTAGACGAAATGGATTAACGTCCCAAGTTAAACGATCTACGTGTTGCTCCTGAGAACTCGTTTTTGAACCGCGAGTGCGTTCGGAAAAATCGACTAGAACCTTCTCGATATTAGACACTCGATCGAGACGAGGGTGTTAATGGCGCAAACTTTCTCGAGGCTTTCAGCGACCGGTCTTGATCAGAAAGTTGCAAGAAAGAAGCTTACTCGACTCGAAATGCGAAAACTGTCGGAGCGGATAGAATGAAATTAGAGCCGATCGAGATTGGTTACCTAACTTTCGAGAGCGTTCTACTGTTTACTTGTTAGCGCGATGGACGATAATCTATTTATGTGTTTAGTTTCGCGAAAGGTATTCTTTTTGTTCCGCAAGATACATAGTATACCTAATAAAATATTTAAGTTCGAATTATTACATGTCCACGCGTAAAGTGGAGCATTCATGGTTGTATCGCTATGCCTTGTTGCATTTTCTCCCATTTCCCGGTATTTTCCCGGAGACGTGATTGGTATTCGATCAAACGGAAGAAACTTATTGACACCGTAGACAAGAGTGTGTTTCTAGGGCGAACCGTGTGTGTCACCCTTGACTGATTAGATTTGAGCACGTGCACAATCGATTTGCGGTTCATCCGTGTTGTATGGAAACCTCGAGCGTGATTTTCTGTGTAACCTGACACGAAAGTTCCACGAAAGGGCGAGGAAACGTCGAACGTGGACACGAAGTCTTCTTATCGTGGTCTGAATGATTAATAACGCGAAAAGAATTCTGTGTTCGGAGAAGCATTATCGTTGCTTTCTCGAACAGCTTTTCATTCGATAGCCAACGCAATTTTCTTGAAAGTTATTTCTTTCATTACGTGGCTCCTTGACATAGTTCCCCGAACCGATACGGAGGTACTATTATACGGAAATTACTTATGTCGTCAAATTGTTATGTCAACTAATGATCTCTACATTTTCTATCGGATCTGACAATTTCATTGATTGCGTTCATCGATTCCTCGATATAAAATTAATGTATTTCAACGATTTGGAGGAAGATAAGGATGATACAGATGAAGATAAGGGTGATTCACTGAAGCTAAATATTTTTTATGCTTCACCGACACACGTCGAAGAGATTCTCTTCTGTGACGAAAAATCAATGAAATTAACTTTTACGTAATACCATCGGGGCTTTCGATAATTCCGTCCTATCATTTGTAAGACACACGAGGTTGCATGAAAGGGTACGTACTACTTTCACTGAAAAACGTAGATGATTAATACGGTTAATGTACGAAAATTATACAAATAACTTTAGTAAAGTTCCAAAGATCCAGAAAATTACGAATGCGAAATCTCTGAACGCCCTACGCGCACAGCAATTTTGATAAATCCCCTACTACAAAATGGCAGAGAGGGAAGCTTGAATTTTTTTAAAAAGCGTAATCCCTTCTCCCGAATAATCGTCTTTGGAGTCGCAAGAAGTTTGGGGTTCGAGAAGAGGTCGTCTCCCCTTTGCAATTAAAACCGAAGGGTGAACGTCCCTGTCGGAAGCTCCCGCATATTTCTACAGCAAGGGGTGCCATGCCAAGGGTTGGTTCTGCGACGTTGCCGATATACGCACGTGACCCTCAATTCCCCACCCGGTTTTACGCGGTTTCCCCGATGCTGCACATTGCTGCACACATTTTTCCTCTTCCACCCCCTGACAGACCCTATCGATTCGTATCCTTCTTTATAATTAACCCTGCGTTCCAATTTCTGGTAAAAAAGAAGGAAAAAAATACGAACGCGTCGTGCGCGAATTAGTGCCGCATGGGGGACAAAGTAGGGAATGGAGCCTCTCTATAAAAAGATTTTACTTGGAGAACCAGTGGAAGAAAGTAGGTAACGAGGATTCTTAGGGCGCAGCTAATTTTTCTCGAAAGAATAATTTTCGTTGGAAGAAGAAAATCGAGTTCGGAGGCCCGCTCGGAGAAGAAACGAGTGCTCGACGCTCGCGTAAGGACCTAGTAGGATTTGGGGTTGGAAAACAGGGTAGCTACGACGATCGCTAAAGAGACCCTTTTGACAACGAAAGCCGTGGTGCTGTGTATATTTACCTACAGCCTACCCTCGTCGAGACGAATAAACACGCGCACGCGAACGCACCAACTACTACCCCTTATTAGGAACTCTGTGTGAAGGTGTACCTACCCTGACGTTCCTTTTGCCCCTATTCTGAAATACTACCAACCTGTGACTTTTTCAGACTCTTTGTGACCCGGAAAACTTTCGGAATTTTCTGTGACCCTTTGGTATATGCGGTCACTCGTATATTCCGCTCATATTTGAAATTTTATGTCGTTAGTTTTCCGATATAAAAATTCCAATGCTTAATGCATTGGAAGCTTTCAATTAGCCCGCCCACGTACGAGATTTTCTAGCGAAGATTATTAAGAATAGAACAATTGAATTTTTCGATTAATCTTGGCGGACAAGGGAAACGCAATCTCATGCTCGGTGAAAAACGCACAAGTACCGTTATCTAAATCGATGAAGTTTTCTGAAATGCAACATTCGAGTCACGCACGTCTACGGAGTCCTTCAAACGCTCATCGATTTCCTCTGGCACTTTGTTTCGATCGATCACGAGAATTTGCAAATTACCAAGGTGTCTAATGATTTATGAACATTTTCTGCGGCGGTAATAAAGAATAGAGAAACGTGGGTGCAAATCGTTCACGTGCATCGCTCAGGGGTGAGAAAATCGATATTGACATTTCGATACACAACAATACGTCATTGTGATCGAAATTGACAACGTGAAAATTAGCACCGATGTTAATTAATATTAGCATAGAACAAGGAGAATTTTCGTCCCCTAATCATCAGAAAATGGATGTTTCACTCCATAATTAAAACATCAGAAAGTTGCGTAGAAAATTCAAAACATACACGCGAACGAGTAAATGTATTTTTACCACGAAATATGCAAATAAAGTTTGTATATTAGCTGGGCCGAAACGAGCTTGAAATGCTCGTGCGAGTCTTGATATCTGCTTTATCGTTGATGCTTGACCGAGAGCGATAAAAGAATTAAAATAAAAAGTGCCTCCACGATGGAAATGAATATAATCTAGTCGAAAGCTCTGGAATGAGCTCGTTAGTAAACGATTTGCTGAGTGGATAGATAAGGAACACCCTTTGCGAATTCGAGATAGTTTTATCGGGCGTGGACCTCGTATGCGTCAGACTTATCGATCTGGAGAATCGTTCGGAGTTTTAGTACTTCATTCGTGACGCGAATGTCATCCACGTCGGCACTTGCCACGAAGAGTAAACATCGCTTTCATAGAGAGATGTCGATTTTCCATGAAAAGCGGCACACTGAGCGATAACTCGCGATGATCGATATTGACCTTAACGGTCGCGAAGAAAGGACTTCCACTACGTTTTCTTGGCATCACTCTAATTAGACGGCAACTTTATTTCCCCTCTGACGCAAAACTACGTCGGTAACAATTACATCGACAGAATTTTGGCCATCTCGTTGACAACGAGTATTCACTGTGCTTACAATGTCTCCCTCGTTCATCGAACATTCCTAACAATACATCGAAAACCCACTTCCTTTCTATTCACGGCGTCTGAAGCTGTATGAGATAACGGTACGGCCGACTGACACGAGAACCAACTTTGCAATGTGCTCAAGGGACACGTGGTTGTTTCTATACAACGTGCTTCCCTTTCAAACGATCGAACTAGACCAATATATTGCGTACATAGAACATGATGTAAATAAATAGATTCGAAAGATGTCACTCCTGATAACGAAACACGTGATAATCGGTCAAACATCGAATCTTTAAAATTATCCTTTCTTAAATCAACGAATAATAAATGACACGTAAAGATTGTAACGTTAAAAATATAACGTTGATTCAAATACGTAGATAAATTGTAAGTAGACAGTTTAACTGCAAATGTGTTACCCGATTTATCAGCAGAGTAAATAATAGTGCCCCCTAATGGCGATAAGTGCGACAATAAATAAAGATAAGGTTGTAGCAAACATTTGAAACTTATCTGACGCAGAAAACATTGGGTTTAACGCAAGCGAATTCGGTCACTGTCCATAGATTCGATGGTTCACCGTTGTTCCAAGTACCATATGTCCGATGGTAAGTGGGAAAGCAGCGTTTCGTTCCGCGAGAGAAGTGTCTCGCTTAATTCCCTCCATGACATATTGTGACTAACGTGCCCCTGGTGGTTCTCATTACGAGCCACGTATTCCCGTGAGTGACCGCGGGTGCACCGCACACATATGCATCCGAGAAAGCGGAATAGGAAAGGAGTCGAGGGTGCTTTTGCTATTCTGACGCGTGCGGATCTCGTTTCGCCTAAGTGGTTGTTCTCTCGCGTTTCCCTTCGACCGATGTGCATCGACTCAGAAATGGATGTCGATGATTCGACCGAGCACCGAAAGCAAATATCTTCCAGGCCAACGAAGGCTTGTTTTCAATCGACGAACCTTTCGTTTCGACGAACCAACTCGTTCGCGCGTTCATCCCCGAGATAATAGCGCCGTAATTTGATCTTCAACGGTGAATCCGTTTTAATTAACTCATTATCGCGATTCCCTGCCAGTAGGCTTCAGATACCATCGGTGGTTCTAGATAAATATTAATTATCGCGTTATCGTTAATTGGTCGGTGCACTATCGAATGACTCTTGAACGGTTCGTTTCGAAATTCGAACTGTAATTGGTTCTTCGAGCCGCAACGATCATCATGTAGATACCGATGATACTGAAATTGAAATTGTATTATCTCTCGGTTATTGCGTGGTTAGGAAATCGTCACGCGTCCGATAACCGCACGTTAGATAGCTACTCGTTGGATTACCATACGTTCGAGCACCATGTGGTTGATACTCAATATTTTATACACGCAATGTATCTTCGAGTGTTGCATCTCTTATGCAATAGATACGTTAGATCTTCAACTCGTTGAATCGCTTACGAGTTAAGATCACCGATATTTTACATTTTCAGCGCCATATTCAGGCCTAACTTAGCCAATGCTTCTGGGGACCAAGAATTGTACATAGTTTCAGAGGAATTATAACCGGAAGTCGTTTGATGAATAAAAAAGGAATTGTAGTAGAAAAATTTGCAGGTGTTAACGAAGGAGAATTTACCTGCCAGCCTTGAAGTAGCAGACACCTATCGACGGTCTTCAGCCACATGACAGCGTCGCCAGCCTGGAAGTCTCTTAAACGGGTGCATTTCCTGTGAAGGAAGACGCCGAGGCACTTGAGCAATTCCGAGGTCGAGGCTTGGATCACAGTTTTCCTTGGCTTAGGGGGTAAAGGTTTCTGCACTAGCTTCTCGCACGTCGGGTTGTGCGTGGTGTGGTTATTGTTCGACGCCGGAGGCTTCGTCTGTTTCAATACAATTTTAAATCAACGATTTTGTCAATTAAAATTCGGACGGCAAAAAATGTGTCATAAAAACTGATACATGGACTATGAATATTTATGCATATATCAATTTTTAAAACGACTATTACGATGTAGATATAGTGTATTATTTACATAACTTTCTATTCCTGATCAGATTATATGTTATCAATTCTCGGCAGAGATTGTAAGTAACGTTATGTGATCTATTGTCAGTCGGTCCATATATAATACGATTATAAGACATCCGTTATCTGCCGTGTCATTTGTAATAATGGGGTGTAAAATGTTATGTAAGTCCATTATAGTTACGTCAGTGTACAAAAACGTACCGAGTAACAAGACAATCGTTTCGTTGTATAAGTTATAGCAAGGTCAGCTAAAAGGAACACTTTGTCAAGAAACGAATTCGACTCGCGTTTTAATGCATTTATAATTGAAGGGCGAAACGCACCCCCGAACGAGCGACTTACTTTCCCAAGATATTTTACAGCAGGGGAAAGAAAGTACGCGCGTGTTCGTAAAACGCAACAAAGAAAACGCAAGATCGATATGCTTTCGATCGTATCTAGGGTCAAAGCACCTTCGACGTTCTTTGCACGAGTCTTCCGAACCAGTGGTTCGTGGCTACTTTACTCGTACAAAAATGGGACACCTTTGCCGCAATCGACACGTAACGAATTAGAAACTTCCACGCTGCAATATTTCAAAAATACGTGTATTACATTGCCAATTAAATTTCTGATTTTCACATATTTTTCTCTCACAGTTATTCGCAGTTCAAAGAATAATTCGTTTAATTAATTATATGAGAAATTTTCCGTTTCTGACAAAATGAAAATTTAACAGTCGAATTAATATTTAGAATAAAAGGTTGAAAATTAGATCGAAACATTTGAGTACGTAATTAAATATAAGAATACACAAGAGTTCATTAATCGTTACCTTCATGCCTGCGTCTGCAAGGTGTAAAAACAGTTCTTCTCAAACAAAATATATATACACAACAATAGTTACCGCGTGAACTACGTACTACCTCTCTGTACAACTAATCAGCCTAAACTGTTCCAGCAGTTCGTTTACGACGCGACGCGAGTTCACGTAAACAAAATAACATTGTCGCATAACGACGAAACAGACGAACACTAGACCGGGAACGTAAACGCCTAATAAACGACATAAAACGATGGCTTACCTGTGGCGTCTGTATATTCTTGTTTTTATCGACGATGGGTATGTTATCGAGCGGTTGTCGGAAACCGATATTCTTGTTCTTATTGTCGAGCTTCTTCTTGTTGTTGTTCGACGTGCTGAATCGTTTCCACGACAGCGCGTTTATGAACAACGAGTGTTTCTTCAGGTTCTTCTCGAGCGCGTTCTTCTCCGAGATGATCCTCGCGTTATCGTTGTTGTTCAAATTGATATTGTTATTTTGCAACGCGTTATTGTTCGTAGGCGGGTGATTCGTCGGCGGCGCCGGCGCCACCGTGGCGACACCGCTCTTGTTCTCGCGGTTTTTCGCATTGTTCAGCTGTTCGTAATTGAAATTGTTCAGGGTGAAGTCAGCCGGATGCTGATGGCCCGTTGGCGGGTACCCGGAGCCCCGTCTATCACGGGGGCTGAACGACAACACGGTGCCCATGTTGCTGGGAGGAGTCTCCTGTTGTTGTTGTTGTTCAGATTGTTGCTGCTGCAACGACGGCTGTTGGGTCTGGGTGGACTGATGGCTGGGATTCTGTCGACCCGGATTCTGAGTCGGGTGGCCAGGATTTTGGGTCTGATGACCCGGGTTCTGCGTCTGCTGTCCTGTTTTGGACGGCTGGTGGCCGGGATTTTGATGATGGCCCGGATTCTGGGTCGGATGACCTGGATTCTGTTCGTGTTGCGGGTTCTGCGACTGACGGCTAGGGTTCTGGGCCTGATGACCCGGATTCTGGTCGGTCGGATTCGACTCGTGGGTCTGATGACCCGGTTCCTGCGTTTGCTGAGACGTAGTGGGCGGAGGTCTCGGTGATCTCAAGGTGGAGACGCGGTGCGGGGGTGGCGG